AAGGGGAGATGACGAGATCTCGGGGGTCCTTTTTTGAAATAATTGCATATCCCATTTGCCATCGTCACCAATCATCATTATCTCTTTCACCATAGCTAGCTAGCTACACTTCACATTGCCCTAGCTAGCTATGTATAGGCTCGCCTGTGCCTCCTTTTGTTTTCATCTTCCTTGTCCTTTTCCGACTCTCGCTAATGATGTTTTGAAGTTTAACTCTCATTTTGATCGAAATAGGACGAGTGGGTGATCTCCCGAGTGTTTCAGAAGTCCGGCGTGGGTGCTGGCGGGAACGGCTGCACGGTGAGCAACAACAACAGCGCCGCCGCCTCCTCCGCCAAGAAGCCGCGCTCCAGCGCCGCGGCGATGAGCAGCGGCAGCAGCGCTTACCAGGAGGTGAGCTCGCCGCCCTCCGCCGTCTCGCACCTCCCTGCTCTCCTCGACCCCACCACCGCCGACAGCTACTCCTACGGCGGTGGGCGCCACCACCAGCAGCAGCACGTGTCCTGTTTCTCCACTGGTACCAATAGTACTACAACCACCGTTGCGGCGGCCGCTGCATCCGATCACCACCACCACCACCAGATGATGACGACGATGTTCAACAACAACGGGCTGATGATGGCGCCTGATCATCATCATCATCATCATCACTACCAGAGGAACGTTCTCTCCTCGACTACTTCGGCTTTCCCCAGCCTGCGATCTCTGCAGGAGAATCTGAACCTCCCGCTCCCTCACCACCTCTTCTTCCCTCCTCCGGCCACCTCTGCCTCGGCGGTCGTCCCGCCGCCGTCGTTTGGTGGCGGTGGTATGATGAGCTGGATGGAGGAAGGGAAGGTCGCCACCGCCTCGGAGCTTGATTGCATGTGGACCTACTGATCCTCATTATCATCATCGTTAAACAATATTAGCTATTCTAATAAATATATAAGTGTTTGTCTGTTTGATGATGATTAGGGTTTCGTAGGGTTTATGTAGTAGTAGCCTAGTAGACAGTGTAGCTGTGGAGGCTAGGGTTTGTGAAAAGTAGTGAACGTGTTGAATAATTCCATCCATGGGATTTATTTAATTTGAAGAGTAGTGGTGTTGCTACAGAAGGATGGGATTGGGTAGGGGAAGGGTGTTGTCTCGTCTCTCATGTCTTCCTCCTATGTAATGTTTGATGTAATGGGAATGGGTGGTGGTGTTTGTAATTTCCATGAATTGTCTTGTCGTTTGATTTCCTTGGACTTTGTTTTTCTTTCCTTTAATGACTACTTGGTGTGATTTGCTACATCGACGACTTGAGTTGATCGATGATGATGTTATATGCAGTGTCAGTGGCTAAAGTCATCACTAGTGTGTTATGTAGTGTTCCTTCTTTCTTTGCTCTTTGGGGAACGTTGCTAGCTAGGGATTGGTTCGACCGAACTCATTAATATATTCTTTCTAACTTGTATTTCCAACCCTACTGGAGAGTGGAGAGTAGGGATGTACGTGGGTCTGGTGAGTAAGGGTTGTTTGTAAGTTGTGATTTAAAATGGTGTATTGAGCCAATTTATGTATTTGTGAGATTAAGTCGTTTTTTTGGGTTATATTGAACTAGAATACATGCATTAACTTTATGAAGGCCCCCACCACAATCACTCATAATTAGGGGACTATCAATCTCTACTTTTTGTTAAGATTTTTCACAATCAATCAAAATTGATTTTTGTGGCTTTACAACAAAACACAATCTAAACCTCCAAACAAGATATTTGCCTAATCAATCATTTAAAGAATCACGACTTCCAAACGACCCCTAAGTTTTATGCATTTATAGTTAACCAACCATTATTTACGGTTTGAAATGATACATGACTCAAATTTAATCATGAAAAAGTAAAATCTTATGGGAGCTATTGATTTTGGGTTGTGCAAGAATTATATGGGTAAAAGATACATATTGGGTTTCTCTAGACTTGTCAAAACCAAAACCTCATCCACCCAACAACGTTAATTACAAGTGACAATACATAAAATCTAGCCCTCCCATATATTTTCTAACCCTATGGCCTCACGGTTAGTTTGGTTTGGACCGATATATGAATCTATATGTTCATCGTAGATTGGACTGCCTCACGTATTATCTTGTCTAGAATACGGACCAAGGTGGCTAGAAATTTGTTTGGTTTGCTCTGAAGTTTGGGGAAAATACTTATGTTTTCCCACAGTTCGACATTCTAGCTTTCTTAATATATATAGTTGACAACAATGAATTATTAGGTTCAGCTTGACTTTCGTCGGTTGAATGAATCAGAAATACGGATAGTTATTAAGTGTTTTACTTCGTCTAACGATCATTATTGATTCATCGTTCACTCGAGGCAATTTGGCCGAATTTGGAAAGCTATATCGCACTAAAATGCTAGATTTAATGACAACTTAAACATCAGTGATGATTGATGGCCCGTTTGGATATTGAATTCTAATGAATCGAATTATTGGATGAAATCCAAATATAAAAATTGTAATATAACTTGTTTGTACGATTTGATAATTCTACTTTCAACTTCAGACTAGTTGGAGAGACGTATGGAAGAAATATTCATTCTACTAACAAGACACGTCCCTCCCAACCCAAAGCCCATCATGTGAGACTCATGACAAGAAAAAGAAAAAAACAAACAAAAGAGAAAGAACTCTGCTGAATCATTGACCTTATCTTATCTCCAACTCCAATCGACCTACACACATATATATATACAAGGAGGGAGGGAGCCCCAAATCGATTTCGATCATCCTCTACCAGCTACCAAGATCTACGTGTCACAAATTGGGCGTTTTCGTGGAGGTATGTTCCATATGGTTTCCATTTTCTTCTTTTACCTTTTATTTATTTATTTATTTATTTATTATTTCAACTTTCAAATACAGGTTTCTGTATGTAGTATAGAAAATTCATAGTCAACGTAGAAAATTCGTATTTATAAACGGCTTATGGCATGTTTAACGAAAGTGATTTCACTGATTTGTACCTCGTCAAACTATGGTAGCATAATGAATCGTCGGTTGGGTGTTTGAGTTACCACGTATTCATCTGCATACATCTTGTTTCCTCCTTCTCTTGAGATGTGATATTGATTTATTAAAGATTATTTGGAAGGAAAAGAAAGTGATGGATAAGATCATTTTCCAACTAGACTTGGAAGATTTCACATCAAAATTAATGGAAACAGCCTTGTGAAGGCCCATGAGCCATGATCTACGATGCCTCGGGCCCGTTTAGAGCCCAAGGCCCATTCTCCGATCCCTTCGTGGACAACCGTTAACCAATCACCCTCCTCAATCGTCCTCATAGGAAACGAACATTCCCCTTTTTTTTTTATCTTCACAAATTACATAATTTGAAGCGTGTGCTCTTTGGAAATTTGCAGCTAAGCTAAACCTTTTGAGATGGAATAGACACTAAACTAGAGAGAAGAAAGAAAAGATGGTCACTTCTACAAATACCTATAAGACAATGTTAATAAATTGCTTTTGCCACCTCAGCCTTTGCAATTCAGACCGCAAACTGCGGAGGGTCATATTTGTAAATTTACTCTCTGGCTCTAGCGGAAACTGCCACTTAGTTTTCTTTCTTTTTTATTTATTATTGTCAAATTTACAACCCCATTAACCCACCAACTCTTAACTCATTTTTTCCGCCTTTTTAAGCCCACAAACCCTAGGCGAGTCTCTTTTTTGTTTGTTATGAAACCCTAGGCAAGTCATTAAAACTCAAAACATAATTTATTTGGGCTATTGATTTATTAAATTATATCATATTAGTTATTTCATCATCCGATTCAGTTTAAGATATAGATAATAATTTTGACTTGAGTTGTCTTATGCGACCTGCTTGATCTATTTTGGCCTTTTGGGTTAGAGCGAGAATGAGTAATCTACTCGATCTAACATGTATTATTTGCAACCTATTTTTATATAAATTATATGTATTTTTTCTCAAAATATATAGAATTTTACTTTTATTATTTCAAATTTTAGCTATAAAAAATCGATGAATATGTAAGAATATTAATTTCTCCAATAGTTTAACTACATTTATCGGGCTATAGTTTGTTTCTTGATTTTTCAATGTAAAATCAATATTTTTAATGTTTTCTCTTTAAAATTTAAATATATACTCATACGAGTTAACCTGCCCCACCCACACCCATAATAAATTACCCGATCTGTTACAAGGCGAGTATGGATATTGAAATAACCGCCCCGGCCTGGCCATCGTCATTCCATAACACCAAATATCTTTCTTTAATTTGTTTAAGATGAAATCTAAATTATAGATTTCATATTTAGTTTCACCATTTTCAAGTTTCACTAAATTTTCAAATTGTAATATTTTTTATATCTAAATAAAATATCAGTACATTTATATCATCATAATCACATAAGATTAAGTAAACGTTATTACACATAAAAGAGAATTACCAGCCAATCCAGTCCACAAACTTATGGAAGTAGATGAAGGTCATGGAAGTAAATTTTTTGGTCAATTGGCTTTGGCAAGTGAATTTTAAGATATTTGTCGGATTACAATTTTTTTATCTTTTTTTTTTGTTAACTTTTTTTTGTATCTTTCTAGATTGGACTAATCAAATAATTCATCATTTTTCTATTTTCGATTATAATTCAATTAGCAGAACGAATTACCATGCGAAAGATACCTAATTTCGAAATAAAATAATTTTAGATGTAGAATATCAACAGTATATAATTTATTGCTCAAAATAATCAATAGTTCTTTTACTTGACTCACATATTAATAAATTATAAATACAAAAGTTGAAGGTCTAAAATTATCACAAAACAAATGCTTTTGATTACATGATGATTGGGCAAACCCGGCCATTAGGCCGGGCCCAATGCTAGTAAGTCTTAACTACAATGACTTCCCCAAAGCAAATTGAGCGTCGCAACAAAAACCGAAGAAGTTCAGTATTGTCGTTTATCTGGGGAAGGAAGAGAGGTCATAAAACCGCCAATTGTTCCCACTTCAGCCCATGCAAAAGCTTAGGCAAAGGACACGCGACCGCCAAACTTGACTCACTCACTGCATCCATCATCTTGTGTGGTGCTTAAATGCCAGGCAAAACTCCCGCCCACCTGTAACTGTGCTAAACCCCCATCCACCATTCCATTTCCCAGATCGCTTTCTCTTGGGTGCAGTTTAACTACCACTTCCCAATTCCTTCCCAAGGCCATGGAGGCTCCAGCGAACATCACCATCAAAGGGATACTGAGCCTGTTGATGCAGAGCATCGACGACGACGACGACATGAAGAAGAAGAGTGTGATTTCGCTGGGAATGGGCGACCCTTCTGCTTACTCTTGCTTCCAGGCTCCTCCTGTTGCTTCTCATGCTGTGGCGGAGGCTCTTCACTCTCACAGGTTCAATGGCTACTCCCCTACTGTCGGACTCCCCCAGACTCGAAGGTAGGTAAAAAGTAATTCCAAGATTTGGGTTGCGGTTTTCCCCATTTGGGTATCTGAAATTAGAGAGCTTTTGCGCCAACTTAGCTAATTGGAGTCTAACCCAATTTCACTTTTCATAATAGCCTTCTGCAGAACTTAGAACTCGTTTCACCCTTTTTAACAGTCTCACTTGATAGACTAGCACTTGCGCTGGGAAATACCAAATTTGGTTATTGTAAAGTGAAGTGGGTTCTTCCTGGATAAGGATAAATTGGTTACAGAGAAATGATTTTTCCATGGACTTTGCATTAGAAACCAGAAGACTTCATTCCTTTTGCAATGAGACTTACATGGTGATCTTTGGACGGGTTGCCCATTTGAGAGCAATTCTTTTCTTACATGGTGATCATAAACTGAACTGGATTCTCCCCTAATAAGGGGAAACTGGTACAAAGAAATGACTTTCAGACGCAGCTCCTTTGCAATGTGCATTTTGTGATGGTCTTTTAATGGGTTGGTCCAAATGAGAGCAGTTTCTTTTGCTGTTTTTTATTTTACACAGGGCGATTGCAGAGTACCTATCTGGCGATCTTCCTTATGATCTATCTTCGGATGATGTCTTCGTCACGTCTGGATGCACACAAGCCATCGACGTGGCACTAGCAATGCTTGCTCGCCCTGGTTCGAACATATTGCTTCCAAGACCAGGTTTCCCTATCTATGAACTCTGTGCAGCCTTCAGGGGGCTCGAAGTTCGACACTTCGATCTCTTGCCACAGAATGGCTGGAAGGTTGATCTTGCTGGAGTTGAAGCCCTTGCTGATCAAAATACTGTGGCAATGGTGGTGATCAACCCTGGGAACCCTTGTGGGAATGTCTACTCTTATCAACATCTGAAAGAGGTAAAGAAGAAGAAAAAAAATCATAGCATATTGGGAACATTCAGTAGGTAAATGATCAATCAAACCAGCTCTCATGTTTGTTATTTGTCAACTGATATAGATTGCTGAAACTGCTGAGAGGCTCAAGATACTCGTAATTGCTGATGAAGTGTATGGGCATCTTGCCTTCGGGCGTAACCCATTTGTCCCCATGGGAGTTTTTGGATCCACTGTGCCTGTTCTCACGCTTGGCTCTCTGTCGAAGAGATGGATCGTGCCAGGGTGGCGACTCGGTTGGTTTGTCACTTGTGATCCCTCTGGCTCTTTTAGAAAACCAAAGGTCAGTTACCTGGCTCCCTAGTTTCTTCCCTCCCTTTCTGTTTCCAATATCACTTTGCTCTGGATCAAATGGTCTTTCTGATGTTCCCTCAGATGGTGGAGCGAATCAAAAAGTACTTTGACATATTAGGAGGACCTTCGACATTTATCCAAGTATGCAACTTTCTTTTTAACTATGCTTGAATATGTTAAGTCAGCATGATGGTTTCTTGCAGAAGCTAATTTCAACATGAATCTGTTAAGTGTTGGATCTAGTATCAAACGTCACCTATGCTGTTTTTACATGTGATGTAGGCAGCGGTTCCTCGTATTCTGGAGGAAACTGAAGAAAATTTCTTTAAGAAAACAATAAAGGTGTTGAAGCAAACTTCAGATATTTGCTTCGATAGGGTGAAGGAGATTCCATGCATCACATGCCCTTACAAGCCGGAAGGGTCCATGGCTGTAATGGTAAGTTGTAAATGTTGATCCTGTGTGAAGGAACAAGGTTTACTTGCATCTTGCTGATATGAAGTAACTTGCTACTTCTTCCCCAGATGAAATTGAATCTCTCAATACTGGAAGATATCAGTGACGACATAGATTTATGCTTCAAACTGGCTAAGGAGGAATCTGTTATCATTCTTCCAGGTGAGAAGCCCTCAGAAAGTTTGTTTACTAGCCCTCTCTTCTCCTGCAAGGAACTGAAACAAAAGAATCTGATCTGAGAAAAACATTGCAGGAACTGCTGTGGGATTAAAGAACTGGCTTCGAATAACATTTGCAGTTGATCCGGAGTCGCTTGAAGAGGGTTTAGCGAGGTTGAAATCCTTCTGCAAAAGGCACACCAAACAACAGCTAGGGAGTTGAGAAGATTAAACGTGTTCTTTCCCTCTAGCTATTTCAGCAAACCAAAAATTTTGCAGGTACATTGCAAATACAAATGAATGTTGACAAGTTCAGAAAACTCTGTTAGAATGATAGGCAGCTTGCAGCTGGCTCAAATATATCCAAGTTACAGAATTGTTAATATAGGAGAAGTTCTTACATGTTCTTTGTTGGTTATATTATATACCCAAAGTTGAGTGTGTACTATAGACTTGTCCATCTTAGTGAAATGAAGTTGCAAGATTCCACTTAGGACATATTTCACAAGTTTAGACTGAAAATTCAATCTTATTTATGTTGCATTGATTCCAAAATTTACCATGTACTTGGTGCTAGTGTTTTAAATTTCGAATGACAAACTTGAAAAAAAGTAATGATCTTGTGATATCCCTGAAAAATTTACTCAAATGCAATAGCCAATCGAGACTTTCAAGTGGAGAATCCACTGAAAACAACCGATACAAAACAAATCAACCATCACGGCCGGCCGGCCTAAAGAACTTTACTGTGTCAGCCTCCTTGTCTCTTATGCCCACTGCCCACCAGAACCTCTGCAAAACTCCAAAAATGCAGAGCCAACAGCCAAAGTGCCAAACTGCTTGAACAACCCTTTGGCAGCCAGCAGCAGATTAAAGTGGATTCCACATCCACATTCCCAAAAAAGACAAAACTCCATCACTCTACTCTATCTCTAACCCCACTAAAAACCGCACCAGAGTCCTATCATCCTCCTATTAAATCCCAGGGTTGTAGCTGTTCCCTTCAGTTCATCATCCCTTCAATAATTTCGCCATGGAACATCTGAACACAGGCAACTACCCTTTTCCCTAAAAGCCACTGTTTTCCCCCCTATTTAGAGCTCTGAGTTTCTTCTGCCTGACCTTTTCCCTGTTGGGTTTTCAATTTTATTTGCAGAAATGGAAACTGTTGCTGCTGCTGTAGAAGTTCAGAAAGGAGACGACTTTAAGGTTCATGTGTTCTCATCCTCGGAGGTTTGTGAAACAGCTTGGAAGATTCTAACCTTACAAATAAACAAAAAACAATTGTTTTTATGATCTTGAATGACTTCTTATTGTTGTTTTTGGTTCCATGTGATCAGTTGATCGAGACGTTGAATGAGAAATGGAGGGCAGTGAAGAGGAAACCATACCCAGCAATGTACTCGAGCGTCTATGGTGGGATCATTCTCGATCCGGCGTTGATGGTGATTCCGATTGATGACCACATGGTACATCGCGGTCATGGTGTTTTTGACACGGCCATAATCCTCGACGGGTAATCTGGCACATATAGTTCAGTGACCTTTGAAGCATTTAGCCCCTGCGTCATGAATCTAATTCTGCAGCTCTCGTGTTTCAGATACCTCTATGAGCTAGATGTACACATAGAGAGGATCCTAACATCAGCCTCAAAGGCAAGGATATCATCTCCATTCACCAAGGACAAACTGCGCACCATCCTGATCCAGTTGGCAACAGCATCAAACTGCAAGAAAGGCACACTGAGATACTGGCTGAGTGCAGGCCCAGGCAACTTCCTGCTGTCCCCATCTGGTTGCCCAACTTCAGCATTCTATGCAGTCGTGATCGACGAGGAGTTCTCCCAGCAAAAGGAAGGAGTTAAGGTGATCACATCTAACATCCCCATGAAGCCGCCTCTTTTTGCAACTGCAAAGAATGTGAACTATCTCCCCAATGTGCTGTCCATCATGGAAGCCGAGGACAGAGGAGCCTTCGCCTCAATCTGGGTCGACGAGGAAGGGTACGTGGCTGAGGGTCCCAATGTGAACGTAGCATTCATTACTCAGGAGAAAGAGCTGATCCTGCCTCCATTTGACAACATACTCCGCGGATGCACTGCTCTGAGGCTGCTTCAGCTGGCGCCCAAGCTGGTGGAAAAGGGGAAGCTGAAAGGGGTGAAGACCGGTAAACTCACTATTGGAGAGGCGAAAGCTGCTCTGGAGATGATGTTTGTAGGGAGCACGCTCCCCTTGTTGCCTATTGTGATGTGGGATGATCAGCTCATTGGAGATGGTAATGGGAGATTGTATATATTTTCTAGAGGTAGATACTTTTGCTTTGAGATAGCTAATGGATATTTTGTTTGAAATGCAGGGAATGTGGGAGAATTGACAATGGCACTTTCTGATCTGATGTGGGAGGACATGGTTGCTGGGCCTACTACTCAGAGGATTCCTGTTCCATATGAGCAGTAGTACTGAACAAAGAGAGAAAATGGTTTATGGAAGTTGCCTGAAGGAATCATGTATACAACATTGTTCTTTTTGGGTCAACTCACCAATGGAGTTAAAGATCACTTTGCTGTTCAAAGCTCCTCTTGTAATCCGGAATAAAAATCTCAAAGCTGTTGTGTGCTTTCTAGGTACAAAACTTGAATGAGAAAGTCCTTTCAAGAACAATACACTGGCCTGGTTGCTTGTTTACACTATTGACCATCGTCGGAATTTTCATCCATCTGACTGCTCTGATCGCCATCAGAAGTTGAGTTCAGCGGATCTGATAGCATTTCTCCTTCACCAGTTTCAGTTTCTTCCCCTTCCATGAAGGAGTTCATCGTGAGCTGGGCAGAGTATAGGATTAAACCGACAGAGTTAAGACCGAAAACGAACGTGGCAAGGTAGCACAACCCATTGATGATGGTCCTGCAAAATTACAGGCAAAACAATCAGTGATGTGCCACAATTTGGATAAGTTAATATTGCATGCTTTATACTTTGCTGGAGTTACCTGATAGTAATTGTTATTTGGCGAACCTGAGAGAAGTAGGTGAAAGTTGAAACCCAGATTAAGTCAAGAACTTCACAAATCATTAAAACAGTTTTTAGCAACGAATTCCAAAAGAGATGAGGAAAAGGAAACTGTGGACCAACCGAGAAGTTATCTGATATGGTCTGCCGGTTGAGAGATGCCTCAATGGTGGTGGCGAACTTGTAGAGAATAAGGGCTATCACACCTGCAGATATTCCACCTAGTAGTGCCTGCACAGGTGAAGTAGGCTTCTTACCTTCTTCAACTGGAGCCGCGGCTCCCATGGCCTTCAAGCTTTCCAATGCCTCATCTTTCAGCGTCTTCTTAGTAGCCCCTGATGATCTGAATCTCTAAAAACATGTTCCACAAGTCACAAATCGGCATATAAACATCAGGCTACCCTATTATAACAAAATGATACAGTTTGCACAGAAATTAAATTGCAACACGACGCACAGATGGAAAATTTATGTTGGAATCCAAAATGGGTGACACATAGCATTACCCATCAATTTTTCCATCCCAAGATGAAAGCTTTTCAACCAGATCAAGAATCACAGAGAGCTAAAATTTGAACCAACCATACTCAAACGCTATCCAATTCAAGGGTAAGCGAAATCAAATGTCAGGGCAAATGCAATAGGGCAAATTGAAGGGGTTGGGAGTGATACCAATTCCTTGGCGCGCTTAAAACGGCGGCGGATGGAGCGAACGAGGAATATCAGGATAGCCCCAGTGAGCAGCACGCTGGTCGCAATCTGCAGCGGGGAAGGGTCGTCGGTGGTGGCGAAGATGGAAGGAGCAGTAGGGAAAGGGAGCTCAATAGGGCCACCGCCGTCTTCCGGCAAGGGGACGGGAACTTCAATCGTGGTGATATCCGCCAGCCATGGCTCCAAGAAAGGCCGCGGGAGGGCTGATAGAGAGGAGAAAATGGCCGCCGGGGTGGGGTTTCCGAGACAGCGGCAGGAAAAAGAAGAAGAAGCTCTCTGATGGCGGTGGCGAGGTGAATGGAAGAATTGAGGAGAGAGGAGAGTTGAGGAGTAATGGTGGTTCTGCAACAACAACAACATCTGAAAATCTCACAAGGAGAAGAAGGGAATTCGGAAGGAATGGAGTGGTCGTTGAAGTGAAGGGAGAGGACTAGCGCGCTGTGGCGGGAGGATTACGGGGAGGGAATATCTAACGAGATAATTGGGCTGAATGACCTAATGGGCCAAACAACGAGCCCATCCAGATCTGGTAGTCATGGATGATGGGGTCAAATTCATACCTCAGCTGGAAACTGGAGAATAAATAAGACGTAGAGAAGCAAAAACATAAAGAACATTCTTCGAAAATTATTTCAAAAAATTACGAAACGTAGTATGAATGAGTATGGCGGTCAATCTGGACAATATTGTTTTTTTTTTCTTTCTTTCTCGGTTAAGGTTCATTCGATGTAGGCAACGTTGAGTACATAATAAGATGAAGCTTTGAAACTATGAATCAATCAACTTATTCTCGACGCTAACGAATTCGTCGAGAGACAAATCATCATCCCTATGCTATCGGCCATCGCCGTCCCCATCCCATTTGCTTCTGCCGCAAACAACTCTTTTATAACCAAAACTTGCCGTCTGTCACCGAAAGAAGTCAAGACGAGACAAGAGAGCTTCAAAGTGGGCAACAGACAAATGTTGTTTTCTTCTGTCTCTGCTTAAGTCGATTAATAAGTGACCCAAACAAAAAACCACATGGGAAAAGGTAGATAGATGCATGCATGCTGGCACTATGGGAGAAATTTTTAAATATGAAACCCCTAGTTAGTAATGGCTACCAACCAAATCATCTATCTTCTGTGCAAATCCGTCCAACTTCAATCGGTTTGCTTTCCTACCTGGCCCTCTTTCTGTAAGGAAGTGGTTAAGCACCATACACGGACCTGTATAAGATCCAGCATAACCTTCTCCCAACAATTCAAGTTATTGGGACCAACTGGTTTATGACACTTTCAAGAGCTGGTTGTCCGTGAGGTCATGTGTTCAAGTCCTCACGATCCCCAATATTAAAATCCAGCATAACCTTCTCCCAACAACTCGAGTTATTGGGACCAACTGATTTATGACACTTTCAACTCCCAATACATTACAGCCATCTCTAGCTGTTTTCATTTCAATACACAAGAAACGAACTAGGATCTTGATCATCTTCTTCTTCTTAGTCATGTTTCGTGATTGGAAGTTTGGAACAACCTTCATCTCATTGTTTAAAACTGAGCGCCGCGAAATTACGTGCTGCTAAGTGACACGTAGCATCCGCTTGTGTTATCGGTATTGTTATCGGTATAGCTGATTGTTATGGTTGGGCTGTTCAAGTTATAGTTAAATATGCCGAGATAGCATTATCTTGATGTTCATCGATTTCCTAATATGTTACTCAAATCCAAATTATACCTATTTGGTATTGTTTATGACAAAAAAAGAAAAAATTGACGCACGTGTAGAAATGTGAAATGAGAAAATTTGATACTTTTGAATCAAAAAGTAATGATTGATATATATAAGTTACGGTCATTTAGATCACGTGTTCTTCTAGAACAATTGAAGAAGTGCGAGTACATCGTAACACAGTACAACCTTTTTGCAAGGTATCATTCACTAACCATGTTTAGCTGGTTTTTGTTTGAAAATAAGAAACTAGGATCTCATTCTCATCCCTTGCCCAACAGCCCAAGTTTCATGATTGGCCAGAACCATCATCATTATTGAGAACTGAATGCCACGAAACTATAGCAAATTGTTGTAGTCGAGCTATTCAAACTGTAGTTAATAACGAGATATTGTATTATCTTGGTGCCCATCGCCTTTCTAATATGCCACCTGGATCGAAATGATACTTATCTTGTATCATTTATCACAAAAAAATAAGGAAGATTGACATGAATGTAAAATACAAAGTAAAAATTTTAGGATTTAAAAACCAAAAGGATAATGAGTAATGACGAATAGAAGTTACAATCATTTAGATCATGTATACTTTTAAACAATAATAAGTGAACCATAATTTATTAAAATATTTTGACGTAGTGTAAAATAAATACAATACTATTTATCTCGTAAAACCTAAATATCAACCAAACAATTATCTTCACGATCGACATAAAGGACGCGTACTTCCCATTAAGCTCCAATAACAAGAGCTCTCCTCCTCACTACATCTTTTGAGATAAAAAAAAGAAATTATTCCCTTGGAAACTTTGTTCTCATCCCCAATTAAGTAGTAATCAAGTGAAATACCTTAACCTGTCACCGCCACCCACCCAAATTAATAAATGACAAGAGCTGAATCAGTGTCACATTACACCTGTAACATTGTCATTAATCAAATGGGAATTACTAATTAATTAATTAATTGGCACTCTAGTCAAATAATACCCAATAATTTGTTACAAGTGAAGCACATGCAAAGGTCCTCTTTTCCTGTCCCACCAAACTTGATTGATTGCCTGCTCAAATCCAACCCATTCTTCTCCATCAATCCCATCATTATTAAGACAGCAAAACCAGGGAGAGACAGAAGAGAGATTGGAGGAGGAGCAGAGAAGAAGAAGAGAATCATTCCAAGTTGTAGCCTTTTAACCCTCGAGCCCATTTTGCTGCACATCAAAACCAGCAAAACCCTCGAACCAAACAACCAAAAGCTCCGCGTACTAGCTACAGAGGGCAATATGGGGTCACTCGCCGGCGACCAATTAGAGCGAGAAGAAAAGGGCAGTGACAGAAACGGCGGCGTCCCTGATCTGCTGGAAGAAGCGTGGTTCTTCAGGAAGCTGATCGATGGAAGCAGCGGACGGAATAACAAGCCGGCGTCAGGCAAATTCATGGGGAGGTGCTTTTCCGATCCCACTTCTTCACAGAGCGTCGTCCCTCCGGCGCCGCCGAAAGGCGAGGGCGGTGGCTTGGTGAGGGCGCCGTCGTTGCCTCCCGGTATCGGGAGAAGAGGCGACGGTGACTACGCCGCTGAGGGCAGGAAGTCTGGTGGGAAGAGGAATAACGGTAAATCGTTGAAAACAGGGGATATGACGGTATCAAGTAAGAAGGGGGGTAAAATTAAGCCATCTGGCGGCGGCGGGAGGAATCCGGGGAGCTTGGCGAGAGCGCCGTCGCTGCCTCCGTGGATAGGGAGGGAAGAGGAAGAAGAATCGGATGGGGAAGAAAGTGGTATGAGTATGAGCAGATTGATTCAGCAGGCCATGTCCTCTTCTCTCGACGATATCTCTACTCTTACCAAGCACTCTGTTTCTTCTCCAAAGGTAAATCACTTAACTTTCTCCTCCTCCTCTAATCATATTAGTATTTGATTTGATTCGGGTTTGTTGTCTCTAAACAAGTTTGAGTTATTAGAATGAATTGGTTTGCGACATAATATTAGAAACTATCGTTTTATTTGAACATTAGTTGATTCAACCCTAGTGCTTCTTACTTTGACATGTAAAAGTAGTAACATAACCTTTTGATGTGATTGAGCTGCTTGGGTTCGAATTAATGTTACGACCATACTTTCACCTCTCTTTGTTTAGATTAGTGATAGAGTTACATGTTCTCTATATAATCATTGGAGTTCGGACTCAACCAAATTAACATTGATTTCGAGATAAGTTTACGTTAAATGATTTAAATTCCATCTCCTTGCAATCACGTTTTAAGCCCTCTTTAACATCAAAGTTACTCTGTCCATGGTTTGAATAAATGCAGAGCATGATTAGGAGTTCCAGGAGCATGAGAAACGAGGTGAGAGGTGATGGGGAAAGAAGAAGACCAAACCCTGAGGCAAGAGATGACCAGAGGGTAATTAGTAGGCAAAGTGGAGTAATTAGTACGACTAATCACAACAATAATCCTCCTCCTTCTCCCTGTAATCCCAAGGGAATCAGGAAATTGACCAAGACAATGAGCAACCTTGAGATCCACCAAGATCAAGCAAGTTACTACGAGTCAAAGAAGGCGGCGATGAGGCCACAGAGGCCCAGTTATGACCATTTGCTCAGGTGTGGAGGCCCACCGATCCCGACGTGGGCTCCGGGGCCCACTTCCAATGCCAAGGGGACGACGGCTCCTGCTACTTCGTCAGCTGAAGATATCAAGGCCCATCTCAAGGTCTGGGCCAGGACTGTGGCTGCTAACATACACTGATGAAAGTGGATTCCAATTCAGTTCTACGGGTTTCAAAGTCTGAGTTCTGACCAAGACCAAAATCAAAGAAAATTAATTATTTTTGTATGGTTTTGGTTTAACCTTAACCATCACAATCATTATAATCAACAATCTTATTATTGTTCAAGAGTTCATCACAGAGAACAATAAATTCTTTTTGTAAACATTTTGCTCATATTTAATCTGATTTAATAATTTGCTTTTCGATAGTTCAAGCAAGTGATTTGAGAACCCTGAAGTGTTAATCTAATGACAACGGAAGAAGGTAACATTAGCAATCATCTAAAAAGTATTCTGAGTTCAAGCTTTTGCTGTGATAGTCCCTATTGTTCTTTTACAATGCCAGTCAGTTCAATGTAAGATTACCTTCCAGTTGAACTTGAACATGCTCAAGAACTGCTGCAGTACAAGACTGAAGCTTTCTGCAGAACTTTGGCAACCACAAGTTAAGCCACTGATGTTGGTCCAAATCTTCTTTTCCATCCTTGTTTGTCCAGATCAGTGTATAAATTAATTACATCAGATGACATGAAAAAGTGTTTCAACTTCTAAAGGTCGCACTAGTACCAAATCGTCTTCTGGTTCATGGGAATGCAAATCATAAAGTCATCTACAATGTCCTAGTCTTCATCGTCAAGTCCAGTGAAATCTTCGACGTTTTGAGCCTGTTCGGTTTGTTGATTCATTGAGCGTAGTTCGTCAATTTCAGTCAGCAGAAACGGATCACATACTAGCCTATGGGCTTGCAGGAACTTGGGACAACCTGTTACAGACAAGAAGAAATAAAAAAAGGTTAGGCATAGAGACAGACGGAGACCCTTTCTACCCTTTAATGGCGAGAAGACTTTTGAGGTGAAGGCTATAGTAATAAGTTCTTTGTTTGACCCACCTGCTATGCAGCATTGTTTTTTATTTCCATTCTGGGGTAAGTAAGCGATGACGGCCTCCTTCTCATAGATGTGCTTGCAGTCCATACTACACAGCAAAAAAATTGTTATAGCGAACACTTTAGACTGAAAAGGGTGGCCGACGAAAGAAAGCACTGTGCAGCACCTTCTAACTGGTTCTGCTAGGTCAGTAATCATTTTGCCACTTAAAGGACATTTCACATTCAGCAGGTTGGACTGGGTGCTCGTCATCACGATATCCTCCTCCTCCTCACCCGGCATTGGCTGACCTTTATGATGAACATTCTGGAGGCCAGTACAAGGTAATAATCAACCACAAAAAGAGTGGGCAGGAGTTGGAATGCAAGATAAAGGGAAAAAATAACGATGTTAACTAAAAGCAGTAACAGAAGACAAAAACCATACCCAAACAGCTTCCTGAAATTGACGGATTAGTCGATCATTCTGTGAAGGCATAGCCTTGAGCTTCATAAATTGCTCATCAAGCAACTTTTTGAAATCAGTGAACTGCAGGAACGGAAACACATAGTTACCTTTATAACAAACACGGTCTGAAATGAAGGGAAGAAAGAAAAGCTAAAATCCGTGGTTAGGTAAAACCTCTGAGGTAGGCTGATATTCATTTCCCACAGTATGAATTGCTGATGCATGACGGATACAGTTATCACAAGATTCTGACAACTGAACTGCTAGAGTTTCAAGCTCCTTGACCTGGAGAGAGATACAAAGCAATTACCAAATGGAGTCAGTTCCATAGCAAACATAATTCAATCATGTCTTAAGTGCTGTTTTATCAGGGAAACACGATAAAGTCCTCCGTGGCAGGTGAATTTGTTTCATTTCTATTCTTGTTGCATCAGAACAAATACACTTGCACAAGATCAGAAACAAAAGGGTAGGCAAAATACTCAATAGTAAAACTTCAGAAGGCAAGGAAGAAACAGGCAGATAAGCAGACCTGAAGTCTATATTACAATAAAAAGTGGCTGTTAATATAAACATCCCGACTACAGGAACACTACACACCTAGGAGTCAGATGTTGAGAGTGGACTTCACTTCCGCCACTCGCTCCAGAATGATGTGGACAAGTATGGAAACAGTGTTCAAACTTATTCAACGGTATACATAAACATAATAATTAACCACTAGCACAAGCATACTGAGACGGGCAAGCTTCATGCCTTACTTGACTAGGCAAAACCGAGGGGAGATTATGGTTCAAACCAATTGTATACATTCAGCCTTTTCTTTTGCTATAGGTGCGCACATTTACATTCTTGGCAAAGAGAACCTTATGATTTAGAATTCACTCTAGAAAAGAATATCCACAATCATAATCCACTAAAAGAGTGACAAATGAAGATACTAGCCACCGACATAATATCCCGAAAGAGAAGTGAACACAAGCATATTTCACTTCGGACAAAGAACACACCTTTGTCGATTCTTTCTCTCTTTCCAGATCAACTGCAATATTTTTCACCATTGTGAAGGCTTTTTTGATTTCCTGAAAAAGATCATACAAATAGAAAGCAGAATTTCCAGATCAGTGTCCTCCTCCACGGAAAGGGAGACAAATGGAAGCAGATTAACTAAAGTACCGAAAAAAGATAGCACTTGCATTGATGAAAAAACTAGTTACAGCACGTTCTGCTGCAACCGATGAACCGAATCACCGTGTAGTTATGAGAGAACTTTTTCTCTGATGGTGCTGATGAATGTGTTAAGAAATCAGGGCTTCCAAAACAAAAAAATCAACCCATTTCTACTTTTATCTCCTGAATCAGCTATTAGGGTTTATCACCAAATTTGAGAGTTCAATTCATTTAGACACCTAGGACCCCTTTTAGCAGATTACTGTGGACAGAAAGCGCCACGTTCTGCCATAGTAAATCTTCCGATGCTAGTAACAGTAACTTTCAACGCCGGATTCCATACAGGATTAACGAAAGAGACTTACGCTGACGAGAGACTGCGTATCCTCGGCGAGAGTAGAAGCAGCCCTCTTGAGCCTTCCGGAGGCGTGGTCCCTCACAGAGGGAGTCGAGCTCGACGCCATTGAGACTGGTTTTGGGCGTAATTGAGTTCTGTTCACCGGTGGGGAAGGGATTCGACGGCAGACCTCGATCGGCGTGGGAGTGGGAGTGGGAGTCGGAGTACTCTGCTCTCTTTGGACTTCGGAGGGAGAATGGAGGAGGGAAATTCAATCGACAACTTCCAATTGTTTCCCCCCTTTTTTTCTGGTTACGAGTCAGTTATGCCCGGGCCTGAAACTGGGCCGGGCTTAAGTCATACTGTATTGGATCAGGCTCAAATCTAAGCGCTAAACCTTAACATTTGGCTCAAGGAGATGTGATAGGGAGACTCCCATTACTTTACTTGTTGTAGATTAAACCAAAAGAGAGTAGTACGGTGGTTGATTATCTCGTTCTTTACTCTATCATCGGTTGTTTATCGTTTCGTGTAACTACTTATGATAAGTGGTTAGTCACTGATTCTTGCTCAAATGTAACAGAATTGTGTATATACGGATCCACTCTTAATAAACTTTTATCTCTATTTCTTTGTTAAATTTGTGAATGGTAATTACCTCTTTGATTCTTCTTTTTTTTTTTTTTTTTTTTGTATCTATCTACTCATTCCAATATCTACGGAGAAAAACAAAGAAAAATTGTCCCGCCGTTATTTTAACTTGTAATGAAGTTGTACTTCCTTTCATTAGTCAAGATAAACAAACCTTTTGTCACATACCGATTTCTGAAGAAAATATACAAATATAATAATATAAGTAATTATAAGCAGCCGACGAACTAATTAATTAAATAATTTAATTAATCCCAGCTGCTGGTGGATCCACTGCCATCGCCACCTCCCATCATGAAAGAAGCGTACAGCTCATCCTCATCAACCTCCAAAACCTCACCACCGCCATTATGAATATCATTATTCAAGCTGGCCGAGCTACCCCATTGACGATCAGACGACGAGCTACACGAATTGTTCCGTGCAATATTGACGTCGATCGGACGGCTCGCCGGATTCTCCAGATGAGAAGACGGAGGAGGAGGAGGAGGCCCTTCCGCTGTCATGAGAGCCAGCTGGACCATCTCGTGGGCCCGGGCCAGCTCGTGGCCGAGCCGAGCCACCTCCCTCTCGAGCCGGCGCCTCTCGGCCGCGGCGTGGTCCAGCTTGAGCTGCAAGGTGTTGTAGTCCAGCTCCAGGGTCTGGGCCTTCCACCTGGCGCGCCGGTTCTGGTACCACACCGCCACTTGCCTCGGCGGCACGTGGAGCCGCCTCGCGAGCTCGAGCTTCAGGTCCGGGAGTAGCTTCTTGTTGGCGCCGAAGCTGCTCTCCAGCACTCCCACTTGCTCTTGCGTTAGCCTCTTCTTGTTCTGGTTTGCTTGTGGCTGTGGGTGGTAGCGATCCTCCTGTTGCTGTTGCTGGGTTTCGGAGTAGTGGAAAGGATACATGGTGGTAGTTATGTTGTTTGTTTGTTGCGGAAAGGGGGAGAGAAGAGAAGACTTTTGGGAGTGAGATATGGGCGTGTACTATACCTTGGTTTCCTTGGACGTAATTTGGATGGGCTCATATATATGGGAAGATTAGAGTACTGTAGATGTGAGATGTAGTAAAGAAATGTTCTTAAAATCTATAGGGGTTTCCAACTAAATTTGACTTCAGTAATTGGGTAGAATTAGTCGTACGTTGATATTGTTATATATTATAAGAGAGGCAATCAACATGACAAAGAAAATAAATGTTAATTTTGTCTATGGTTCAAACTAACATATATGTAAGGTGTACGTTCATTAAGTTTGCTATCTAGATTATGAATTGACTGGAGTTTGGGGCATGATGCTATACTCTAGTCTTTTAATGGGCGACCCTCAGTTCTTAATTCTCGAACCCAACAAATATGAGTTAATACCTTTGACCATGCATGAGGGTCTCTCGTATTCGAACCTTCATGACCGCAAATATTAACAACCGATCCGAGTACAATTAGGGATAAAGTTATTAGGTCTGTACAAAACATCAAACTCATTAGCTGTGTTTCGTTTGGAAATGTGAGTGAATATGATATGAAAACGATATTAGGACTAGTTATCGAACAATTCGATTTATTGGGATAAATTGGTTCCTCGAAATAGAATGCGATTGAACATTTTTTTATTTGTTTTTTCCCCTCAACTGCTCGTTATAGGGTCCAGTAGTTTATCGAGACTGGGTTAACTTCTATTATTATACGATTGTTGACCAAAAAGAGAACAACAGTGTACGGTAGACAAAAATAAAAATGATAGGACCCTATCGTATTTGATGCTATAAATGGAAGGGGGAGGAAAAAACGTCATTTCAGTATTAATTAGTTAGTTAGTTGTGCTGCTACTAAGCTCACTGTTACATCTTTAAAGAGTCCATTGATGACCTCCATTTTTAGTATTTTATGACCCTAAATATGTTTGAATTTAAGATAAGATACTACTGTTGAACTTCTGAATAAGGTAAGGGGAAGACCCTACCTAGGCGACAGGATTGAATATCAAGGGGTTTGAAAGGAAGGAAGACAGAGACAGGCGAGAGGGATGGCGAAAGAAGTTGGGAGAAAGGGAGGAATTAGAGATGAGAATGGTGGCGGCCGGCGGCTAATAAACTAGTTGAGAAAATCGTCTCGTCGGAGATGGCCTGTGGGTCTTCACGTGAAGTTGGTCCTACCGACGGACGGACGGACGATTGCCAATCAATTCGCTCCCAAACAAACACAGAATCGACCTGACTATCTTATAGTTGATTAAGGGACACTTACCTGGAATTTTTTTATAAAGAAATGAAGTAGTTAAAATGTCCAGAAAGACAGATCTTCTATATCTAAGTGAAATAAATTAGCTTAGCTTTGTATTAGTTGGTCACTTTGATTGGCCATGTAGATTGCGGATGAGATTACATGACTAATGACTTCATTCGACGTATTAGATTACCGGTTAATATAATTTTTCAAGCTTGATGTGTGATTTAATAAAACCGAATAACAGATGGTAATATTTTAAAGAGAATCGACATAGTCAAATCGAAAATTGCGAATACCTCCTAAAAGATGAACGAAAGATGAACCATAATGAGTTAGGTTGAAAGAGCAATATTGAAATTATCACCCTTAATTTTTATATCATATAAATTATCACCCTTAATTGGACTATGGATAATTTTTTTCCTTTTCCGTCCCGCAAATTGGATGTGGAATGGAGCCAAAATAAAATAAAAAATCTGACTGTACAACAATCTCTAATCACACCGGTCACATCTTCCAGTCTCGACTCCGACGACCGCTAAGCTATCCCTAGCCGTTGAAGTTTGAATTGGTGGGTGCTCTTCCGCTGGCCGCCTATTTTTCATCTCGATATGCCTCTTTTCTTCGGACCGCAATTAATCAGTCCATCCTCTGTTGCCGGCGGCGGTCAACTGGTCATGATTTAGAAGAAAGACAATAATGAGCTCCATCTTCTCGAAGATTCGCCCTCCAACGCAAAACTTGTCTTCATGGGGAGAGTGAAGTCCAAAGAGAAAGAGACGAGAGCATGTAGATAGACCGTCCATGGTCGCACGTAAATGATAATCACACACACAAGTAGAGCAGTAGAGAAGTAGTATATACATTAACCAACTCTTTTATTACCTGCGGCTGCATGCATCATTGCTAAGCTAAAGGTGACTAGAAAAGAAGAAAGTTACTCACTTTTTACCTCCTCATTTGACAATTTCGTAACCTGCCTGCTAATTTTGTTCAAAAGGCTTTGCCTCAGTCGAGTTCAAGTACCACTTTACCAGGGACCCGTCTGCTGTCTTTTGCTTCATGAGCATCCCTCACTTGCGCGATCGGGAATGTCTTCTCCACTGGCATTTTCAGCTTCCCGATCTCGGAGAGTCTGCGTATTTCAGCTAACCCGTCCGAATCAGCTCTCATGTACGTCCACCAATACTCTGTATCAGCAGATGAATCCGATAACTTAGTTCCAAGTATAATACTCTATGGCCGGTACATGAGAAACAAACAGCTTCACTTTCGACCCAAAAGACCGAATAATGTTGTCAAGCCAGGTGTTATCAAACAGGTATGAGATGTTTCAAATGAAAGTTTGAGGTTGGGAGGAAAGACCTGGTAGAAAAAGAAATTTACATACCTATTCCATGAGAATAACGATACTGTATCTGTTTCTTCAATAATATTGAAGTGGCGAGGGGAAGACCTACAACTAACCCGTATCTATCTGTCAAAGCTGCTGCTTCGCCCTACAATAGTAGACATGATACAGATCAGTTTCAAGACTATGTGGAAGGTATAAGCGTCTACATTAACTTGCTTCCCTAAAGGTGCAAAGTATGCTTTCATCAATTACCTGAAGAGTCATGTAGTGGCCACCTCTCTTCAGAAAATTGATTCCTGTCCTTTCTGTTTCCGGCAATCCAATAGTGTCAAAAACAGCGTCAAACTTTCCTTTTAAAGCTACCTCAATATCCTGTACGTTAAACAGTTGATTACTAAGGGTGAACAAGCAAGCAAATGTGTGTTATGTAGATGTTTTATGCCTTTAAATAGCTGGGATGCACAGTCACCTCAGCAGTGTAGTCAACAGCCTGTTCTGCACCAGATTCCAGCATTCGGGCTACACTGTTACCTCCACAGGTGGTTGTAACATAGCACCCAGCAGCAACACCGAGCTGGATGGCAGCAAAACCGACAGCGCCACCACCACCAATTACTAACAGCCGTTGCCTGTAGCCACACCACAAACATAATAGAAGGTCATTAGATAGTATATCATATTACCATAACTTCATTTTACACAAAGCATAGGAGGACTTCCGGCAATACATATTTTAAGCACTTTTTCGCTAGAGCAGATTAACTGCCTCCCTCAGTGAAACTAGGAATCCAAATGGAAAATACTGCATGGTACCTAAATGTTCGTCTCCCAAACAGCATAGTTGCCTACCCTTGTATCTGGTCCTTCAGTCATTTCAGTAATTTTCCAACCTTATAATTGTTTTATCTTCTTTTAGTACTTCTATTAACCCAAAGAAAAGTTAAAGTGCTTGCAATACCAAGTAGCTATGTGCAATAGAATCTGTATGAAATAAGTTTAAGGTTAACTATTCAATTGGGCGTGAAAAGTTTATAAGAATCAAGTAACATCTTCTGGTCAGCTTGCCATGATAAGGTCTTCTAAATATTTCAAGCAGACCGTAAAATAAGTCAAACACAATATCCTAAACTTACACCATTACTCAAAAGAACTAACAAAAGACTTGCTGTTTTGAAAAGAAAGAACTAATAACGTGCTTAACATAACTAATCAACATTTCAAACTCAACAAATGTCAGGTTTTTCCTACCCACACTTGCAATATCGTCTCACCAAATTCTATTGGTTTTGGTTAATTGAACAGCACAGATAAAAATAACGAAGTAACAGGAATAGCAGACTACTTGTGAGAAATACAACAACATGATCAAACCAAAATAACAGGAATGTATGATTACTTTTGCAAGAATTTATCAGAAGTAGTATCCTTTCTCCTCAGTTTAGTCCGCAATACTACAAACAAGTTGAATGAGCACGATGAAAATGTAGCAGTAAAACATACCCGTCAGCTATTCTAGCTGTACTCATTAGAGCACGCCAAGCAGTCAGTGCAGCAAAAGGAATGGCCCTTGCTTCCTGCAACAGCAGAGGAATCCTTACAAATAGCATTCCATTGTGCTAGGAACTGGAACTGAAGATGATCAGAATAAAAGTTCATCATAACTGCAATGATTTCAAGTTCAATCACTATCATTCCCAGCTGTTGCTCATATGACTAATACTTGATAATCTTAGTTTAAAATCCCCTTATGCATATCTAAGTATATTTAACAGGTCCAAATGTGCAAGCAAGTCAGCAAATAGAGGTTTCTTTACAGTTTCGCCTCAAGGAGAGGGGTGAAAAATGAAAAAATTGAGTCACTTTTCCACATGGGAAACTATAAACACTGCATTCTGTACCACATGAGTAATTGAAGCTGGTTTTGCAGCAAGTTCTTCCTCTGAAAGCACCGCATAATCAGTGTAAGTGCCCCTGAGAGCAGTTGGATGCAGAGCACCAAAGACTTCTTGTCCAACACTCAACGAATGAACCGAGGTCCCAACAGCTGCAACTTCCCCACTGACATCTCGACCTAAGACGAGAGGTAGGAGTGGTTCAAATACCGAACGACCATAACCTGCTCGCATCTGGAAGAATTATGATCCCCGAAAATGGATTGATTAATGAACAACTCCTTGCAACAAATAATTCCGTAAGTAAGGACATCATCTACTTGAAAAATTCAGCATTGATTTAATACAGCGTGCTGTGTGTATGATCTAATGACAAGAAATGGATTTCCAACTTCTGTTTCTTAACTTCCATCATCATTCATACCATTAGTTACCTTTTAGTCCCTTCCCTAGCCTTCCAGTCCTATTCTCATACTGAAATGAGAACTTAAAATTTAGGTTCGTTCTCATGCATATGCTTCTTTGCTAGAGCATTATCAACTTTTACTTCAGGCTCCAGCTTCTCTGATTCTGATAACACATATAATAAATTAATAATGCAGTCGCCACAGCCCAAGAACAATAAACCCATTCTTATCCATGGCTCTCCTGACCTAATCACAATTTCCACCCAGCAAAAACAAAATCCATTCATTCTATCGACAAATTACGTCCGATCGGAACTTACTCTGGTATCCAGTGGATTAATAGAAGCTGCCCGAACACGAACGAGGACCTCATTGGGCTTCAGCGGCGGCACGTCAACGTTGTCCCGGAGCTCCAGCACTACCGGGCCTCCGAACCGAGGAAGTAACACTGCCCTGCAACTAGTTACAATGTGTCTAGTAAAACCCGAATTCCAGAGTCGGCTGACCACCGCCTTTCTTGAACTGAAGTGAGGCCTCAAGAATCGCATTCTCCGCGGCATTTGTTGGCTCGGGCTTGGCTGCTTCTATTCGTCGGACAGCGGTGGGGGTTTTCCCATGTGCATGGGAAATCGATCGGAGACGGACGATGCTGTGAATGATTTTGGGGAGTTACTGGAAAGTGGAAATGAAAGCGCGAGGGCAGGCAGTGGGCCGCAGAAAGAAGAAGGGAGAGGAAGCAGATGACGTATGCTTGTTTGCATCCGCCAGAAAGCGCCTGCCTGATGACGGAAAATCGGACAACCCAAGCCACCGGTTCGACTTGCGACCAACCATGAAACTGAAATGCAAATGAGCCCAATTGTACCACTACAATCACTTTGTCTCGATGGCTCGTAGTCCAGCTTGGCTAAGTAATGGAAGGCCCAATTGGTTCGTTATCATTGGTGTGTGGTTCGTAGTCCTGCCCGGCACACATTTGGATAGGGCTTTACTAGACAGACCGGGTAAATGCCACATTTGGTTACTGAAATTATTAAATCGTGTTATGTTTATTCATTATTAAAAATTAATATAAATTTTGGTCACTCTAATTACTAAAATAGGTCACATTTAGTTATTCTTCTGTTAGCCTTCGTCCAACTCCTGTCATTCGAATTACTTTTTTTTTTTTTGAATGTCATTCGAATTACTGAGATTTTGTGTAGAAGCGTTTTGGTGATCTAGAAGCGCAAATTTTGACTACATTGGGCACTAATATACAAGAGTTCATTTCCTTGTATTTCCGATGTGGTACTTGGATTGTCCCATCAAGACAAGGACCACGAACTTCGTGTCCTCATCCCAACGATTATCTTGATCTGCCAGACGCAAAACTCTCTTTGATCCGCCAAACAGAGGCGAATCACCTTTGACCCGCCAGACAAACGCAGATCTCAAATCTTGAGGTCACCGAATGAGGGTCGTACCAAACTGACGTCCACCGCCCCAGGTCCACACCAGGCTCTAATACCACTTGTCAAAATCGGGTTGCTCAATTAGTACGATATTGTTCGCTTTGTGCCAAGCCCACACGGATTTTCTCTTGGGTGTCCTCCCCAAAAGGCTTCGTACTAATGAGTTTAGTGTGCACTAATATACAAAGGTTTCTTTCCTTGTATTTCCGATATGCTATTTGGATTGTCCCATAACAATACTCTTCTTACATTTTAGGGTGGTCATAGAAAGCGAATCTAGCCTCTTAAGTAACCTTTCCTAATTCTTATCATGAGTCATCATAAATCTTCCATCCGAGTCCAAGCAAGGGCAACACACATCTCCGAAACACTAAGTTCTACTTGGTGAAGCAAGGAGGAAGACGAAGAAAAAGAAGTGGTGGAGACAAGCTGACCACAAACAAATTCAGCTTCCTTTGATACTTAGGATGAAGCATCTCCATCTCCGATAGACAAAAGTACTTGCCAGTTGGCACAGAGAATGGGCTATGGTGTTACATTGGTATTAACCCTCGTTTTAAAATCATAATGTGTGTTCGACTCCTAATCTTAAACATTTCTTCGCTTCCACCAATCCTCGAGTTGAATCACGATGGTGAATACAACGACACAATACATGACTCGCATCAAAATTTATCTAGCTATTTTGTGTAAAGTTGAGGAGAAAGGCGTGGGTTGAGAACCACCTCTAGCGGGATGGCTTTGGGAAGTGTGATCCCGGACACTTCACTCATGTCCACGGGCTTATCTCCCGGAGTAGTCCAATCAAACCCTTGGAGCAGTCTGGCCAAAACCAATTCGGTCATCTGCATTCCAAAATTAATCCCGGGGCAACCGCGCCTGCCCGACCCAAACGGGAGGTACTCGAACTGCTGCCCGAACACCTCCCGGTTGGCGTCGGCATTCAGGAACCTCTCCGGCTTGTACTCGTCTGGATCGGACCACAGCCTCGGATCCCTGTGCAGCTTCCAGAAGTTGGCCATGAACCAGGTCCCCTTGGGAACACGGCGGGACCCTCCGATCACAAAGTCCTCCGACGCTTTTCGGGGCACCGAAAGTGGACCCACCGGATACATCCGCATGGTCTCCTTAATCACGGCTCTCAGATACGTCAGATTTTGAATGTCGGACTCGTCCGCCCATCGATCTTTCCCAACTTTATTGTCGATTTCCTCTTGAGCCAGCCTTAATACCGACTTGTGGTTCAGCAAGTTCGACAGGATCCACGTCACTGTAATCCATGTTGTGTCGGTCCCTGCCACGACTACAGACTACCCAAAAAAAAAAAAAACAGGGGAAAAGGTGTAACTTAGAATCCAAAACTTCGACGGGATTCAACTTCATTGATTGCTCATACGAAAGGATGGGGTGAAAACTGAAAAGTACCAGAATGGTGGCCTTGATGACATTCTCTCGCTGGTGGCCGTGGAAGAGTTGGTCTTTAAATTCCGAGAGCATCATGTGGATAAGGTCGGGATTTGCATCGACTTTGTTCTTCTTCTTCTTCCTCTCGTCCTTGTGCTCGTCGATCCAGGTTTCCATGATGGCATCCATCTCTTTGCTCACCCGTTTCATGTCCTTCACAGCTCCCTGGAACAACCCGAGCCACCCGAGGATCGGAATCGAGTCGGAAGGGACGAGCGTACCGGTGAGCACTACAATGTCACTCAGAACCTGACCAATTGGCCTCCCCTGCCCCGAAGATTCCTTGTCGTAGTATCCATACCGCTTCCCGGCGATCATCCGAGTAATTATGTTGATCACCGTGCTCTGGACTGCCTCCCCGATCACAACAACATTGGTGGCCTTTGAGAAGAAAAGAAGAAAGCGGCTAGGTTTTTGGTGAAGGGTCTCAAAACCTTGAGATCTTCGTTTTCGATTTCTCATTTATATACCCAGCAACCTTTACAAACCCAGAACACTTAACGGCTAATCTACAGTAATTAACTAACAATTGAAAACGAACCAATAACAAAGCAACATGTGTCTGCAAGACACAAACCAAATCGCTACGACAGGCAACTAAGAAGGACGGCGTCGTGTTGGCACATCTCTTTCTTCTTTAGAGGAGACGACTGCGTTTTGCTCCAAAGCAGTTCCTGGATTAAAGCAAAACGCCACCGTTTCTTCTGGGCTTGTGTTCTTCGTGTGCAGCTTCCATCAGCAGTAGCAGACTCAGGACAAGTTCTTCATTCAAGCTTCAGCTGCTACTGCTTCTGGTTCATATCTCCATTACCCCCCCACAAGCTGGCGAGGATCGTGCAGAAACTCCCAGCTTGTCCATCAACATATTGAAACGATCAATACCAAGACTTTTGGTAAAGATGTCTGCAAGTTGGAAGTTTGTTGAAACATGCTTCAAATCAATCAAACCATTCATCAGTCTTTCACGAATAACATGACAGTCTACCTCAATGTGCTTTGTTCTTTCATGAAAGACTGGATTCCTAGCAATATGTATTGCTGATTGGTTGTCACAAAACACCATAGCTGGTTGGGAATGCTTTACTCCAAAGTCTGAAAGCAACCTCATCAGCCATTGCAACTCACAACTCAACTGAGCCAAGGCTCTGTACTCTGCCTCTGAAGAGGATCTAGAAACTGTACTCTGTTTCTTTGTTTTCCAACTAATCAAACTAGTTCCCAAGAACACACAAAACCCTGTTAGTGATCTCCTTGAATCTGGACATGTAGCCCAATCAGAATCACTATAACCTGTCAACTGAATAGCAGAATTCTTAGGGTAAAATAAACCTTGTCCTGGTGAACTGCTCAGGTATCTAAAAACCCTTTGTAGAGCCTTGTAATGCACTGAAGTTGGAGAGTCCTGGAACTGACATAGTTGCTGAACAGCAAAGCTGATGTCAGGCCTTGTGCTTGTCAAATACTGCAACTGCCCTAGCAGATGCTTGTATTTACTGATGTCCAGAAAAGGATCACCATCTGCAGCTGAAAGCACTTGTTTAACACTCGAAGGTGTCTTTGCAGGTTTACACTCATCAAAGCCTGCTTCTTTTAACAACTCAGTGCAATATTTTCTTTGTGACACATGAATTCCTTCTGCTGTTCTGTTAACTTCTAAACCAAGGAAATACTGCAATTCCCCCAAGTCCTTCATCTTGAACAAAGACTTCAACATGTTCTTCACAGTTTTAACAGCATCCAGATCCTCACTTCCCACAACAATATCATCCACATAAACAATAAGGATAACAAGATGTCCTCTTATATCAGTCAAAAAGATTGAATAATCTGATTTAGACTGTCTAAAACCATTAGCCAGTAATGAATCAGTTAGCTTAGCATACCACATTCTGCTAGCTTGCTTTAATCCATAAAGTGATTTCTTCAACTTGCACACCTTCCCCTTATACTCAGGTTTGTCTCTCATTCCCTCAGGCAATTCCATATACACATCTTCTTCTAATTCTCCATTCAAAAAGGCATTGTTAACATCCATTTGATGTAAATGCCAACTGTTAACAGATGCCACAGCTAACAACATTTTAACTGAGGTCAACTTTGCTACAGGAGAAAAGGTATCACAATAGTCAATACCATAGATTTGTGTATATCCTTTTGCTACTAAACGTGCTTTAAATCTTTCAATTGAACCATCTGGATTGTACTTAATCCTGAAAACCCATCTGCACCCAATTGCCTTAACTCCCCCTGGCAAGTCAGTAATGTCCCAAGTATCATTATCAAAGAGTGCTTTTAACTCTTCAATCATGGCTGTATTCCACCTGGAATCCTGAGCTGCTTCTGCATAGCAAGAAGGCTCAAAAGCTGCTGCAAGGATCAGTGCAAAATGCTGTTGCTCTGGTGAAAGATGAGCCAGGTCTGGTGGTATTGGGATCTTGGGATCAATACTGACTTGATTCAAACCCACATAAAAGTCATTAAACTTCTTAGGAAAAGTTGTTTGCCTTGTAGATTTCCTAAGAGGTACTACTGGTGGGGAAGAAGGAGGAACAGGAGGAGGTGATGAATCAGATGAAGCAGAACTGGTATCTGAAACATCATCATTGGTAAAAGGAGTAGCAGATTTGCCTGGTGGGGAAGGAGATAGGGGTGTGGTTTTGACAGAAGGAGAAGGATAATCTGTCAAGTCAGGTTCAAAAACAGGAGAAGAACCAGAACAAGAAGGTTCTCCTGGACAGAAAGAAGACATTGGAACAGAAGTGGAAGGAGCATCTTCTGTTGAGTCATGAGCAGATTTACCAGTTTTGTAAGGCAAAATGTGCTCATGAAAGATCACATCTCGATTAACAAACACTTTGTTTGTGTTAAGATCCAACAATTTGTATCCTTTAATGCCATGAGGGTAGCCTAGAAAGACACATTGATTGGATCGAGGATCAAACTTCAACTTATGACCCTCTACAGCAGTGGCATAAGCCAGACAACCAAATACCCTCAAGTTCATGTAATCTGGTGGTACCTTATGCAGTACCTCAAAAGGAGTTTTGTGATTAAGGATAGGAGTAGGAGTCCTGTTAATTAGATAGGCTGCATGTAAAACAAAATCTCCCCAAAAGGTCAAAGGTAAACCAGATTGAAATTTCAATGATCTAGCCACATTCAGCAAGTGCTGGTGTTTTCTCTCAACTCTCCCATTTTGTTGTGCTGTATAAACACAACTCATTTCATGAACAATACCATGAGCTGAGTAGAACTCAGTCATGTGAAACTCTTGGCCTTGGTCTGTTCTAATGGTTTTAACTGAAACTGAAAATTGGTTCTTTACCATTAGACAGAAAGATTGAAGTGTTGGCCTAGCATCAGCCTTTGATTTGAGAAGAAAAACCCACACTGCTCTACTATGGTCATCAACTACAGTAAGAAAATAAGAGAAACCATCTCTGGAAATAGTGTTTAATGGCCCCCAAATGTCTACATGTATCAACTCAAAAACTTGTGAACTAACTGAGGTGCTTACTGGAAATGGCAACCTCTTTTGCTTAGCTAAGTGACAAGTTTCACAGTGCTGTGTCAAAGGAAGAGAAACCTCATTACAAGTTTGTTTCACAACTTTCAGTCTAGACAAAGATGGATGTCCTAATCTAGCATGCCAGACGTTAAAATCTTGGCTTTGGAAATTGAACACTGCTGCTGCAAACTTCTGTGAATCCTTAGAAACTCCAAACTGTTGACCCTTGAACTCAGTAAAAAGGTAAAGACCTCTATCAACTTGGGCTAAACCAATCCTCCTCCGAGTAATAAGGTCCTGGATGACACAAAAGTTGGATTTGAAAGTCAATGAGACTGGATGATTTTTGGTTAACTTGCTTACAGAAACTAAATTGTAAGCAAAGGAAGGAACAAAGAGGACTTGAGTTATGAATAATCCACAAGGCAAAGTAACTATCCCTATATGTGTGGCTTGAACCTGTTGTCCATTAGGCAGATTAACAAAGACCTGATTCAGGGGCTTATGTTTCATGAAGAAACTTTTATCACATATGATGTGATCTGTTGCCCCTGTATCCAAAACCCATACTGTGCCACGAGATGATTCAACCACAGAAGAAAGGACTTGTTTACCTGAAGAGTGTGATGCATAATGGGAATGCTGTGTTGAGACAGATGGAGAACCAGCTGGTTTCTTCCCTGACTGTGAGCCTCTAACAGCAACTGCTGCAGAATGCTGAACACCAGGAGAATTAGGAGGAGAGGGTGATGCAGATGGTGATCGATTAAGCAGAGTTCTGAGTTGTTCAAACTGGTTGGGAGTGAGCAAACTCAGAAGATCACCTTCCCCTTTTCCTCCACCATGACCAGTAGCATTAGAGCCATCACCTTCTGATGGAGTAACTTCTACTGAACCAGCAAAAGAACCTTCTCCTTCTCTACTTTGTTTGTTTTTCAACTTGTAACATTCCTCAATAGTGTGGTACTCCTTCTTGCAGAACCTACACCACTTCTTCCCATCTTTGTAGTCTCTAGGATTTCTACCTCCTTGAGTACCTTTCTGTTGCTTAGACTGTTGTCCAGCCATCAATGCAACTGATTCCACTCTTCCTTTTTCAGACTGTAACCCTTTCAGCTGTCTTTCCAGTTGAACCATCTGCTTAAAAACTGATTCAATGGGAGGCAGCTGTGCATTCATCAATACCTGTGTTCTTGCTGATTGAAACACATCATTAAGGCCTTGCATGAATTTGATGATCAAATCATGCTCTTGGTATCTCTGAATTGTAAAGAAAGGGCTATTTGGGCAGGGACAGCATGAAACTGGCCTATACATCTTGTATTCTTGCCATTTAGTTGTCAGAGCAGTGTAATACTGAGTAACTGTAAGGTTTCCTTGAACACACTTCCTAATCTGCTCATTCAATTCATAAACCCTCATATTGTCAGCCTGGCTGAACCTATCTTTCAGATTATCCCACACATCTTTGGCTACTTTGTAAGGAACCACACTGTTTGCTATATCATCTGAAAGGGAGTTATAGATCCAGCAACGCACAGTGCTATCACACCTGTGCCAAGACTGCCAAATGGGATCTCCCATCTGGGGTACAGGAATCAATCCATTCACAAATTGCAGCTTGTTCTTAGTACTAAGAGCAAGTTCCATTACCTGACTCCAGAGATTGTAATTCTGGTCAGTTAGCTTCATCGAAATGATAGTTGTCAAACCTCCATCGTGAGGTGGCAGGTAGTAAGGGTTGAGGTAAGGATCCTCATAGCGAGGAATCACTGGAGGAACAAAAGCATCCATCTGACGTCGAGCATTTGCACCTTGAGGAGTTCGCGGTAAGGTGGCGTCGTTGGCTGAAGCAATCTCATCTTCAGTCTCCACTTCATCAGCAACGAACCCATCCACTTGTGCTTCTTGAGTAGACATCGTCTGGATCTATAAATGAGAAATCGGCAGCGCAGAAGCCTGGATCGAGGTTAGCAAAGCCAACCAGGCTCTGATACCATGAGAAGAAAAGAAGAAAGCGGCTAGGTTTTTGGTGAAGGGTCTCAAAACCTTGAGATCTTCGTTTTCGATTTCTCATTTATATACCCAGCAACCTTTACAAACCCAGAACACTTAACGGCTAATCTACAGTAATTAACTAACAATTGAAAACGAACCAATAACAAAGCAACATGTGTCTGCAAGACACAAACCAAATCGCTACGACAGGCAACTAAGAAGGACGGCGTCGTGTTGGCACATCTCTTTCTTCTTTAGAGGAGACGACTGCGTTTTGCTCCAAAGCAGTTCCTGGATTAAAGCAAAACGCCACCGTTTCTTCTGGGCTTGTGTTCTTCGTGTGCAGCTTCCATCAGCAGTAGCAGACTCAGGACAAGTTCTTCATTCAAGCTTCAGCTGCTACTGCTTCTGGTTCATATCTCCATTAGCCTTATCATCGTTTCCGCCTCCGCCGGTGCTCTGCTGGTAGAGGTCGGCGATGAGGAAATGGATCTCGGAGATCTGGACGTGGGCGAGGGCCTTGATCCGATGGACGGAGAGGAGCTGGGTGGTGAGCAGCTTCCTGATTTCGCGGAGGTAGGTGCCGTAAGGCGCGAATCCGATGCCGGCGTAGTTGTAGCCGAGGATCTTGGCGTGGCTGGAGTCCGGCCGGAAGGCGAGGATCCGGTCGTGGGTGGTGAAGCAGTCCTTGACGTCGTCGTAGTCGCTGACCACGACGGTCGGGTTGTTGGCGCCGAGGCGGACGGTGAAGACGGCGCCGTACTTGTCGGCGAAGGAGGCCAGCTTCCGCGCCAGGATCTGGTTGCCCCTCAGGAGGTGGAGGTGGCCGACCAGAGGCAGGGCACCGGGGATTTCGGGGACAATGTTAGCATCCTGCTGCTGCTGCTGGTTTCGCTTGTTGGCCAGCCGGCGGAGGTGGAAGAATACGACGACGGCAAAGGCGACGAGGATTTCGGGGAGATGCTCTGTAATAATCATGCCGACGGCGACTGTGTGTGTTCTCCTTTCGTTCGTTGCTGGTCGGAACAGAGTTGGAGATGCTCAGTTCCTTTATAGAAGAGTGAAACAATATAGTGAACCCAATGATTAAACTTGTAATTTATCATTCACTTTAATAAATCCACCTTCTTGGATCTTGGTATTTGTTACCATATCGAGCAGCCTTTAGCAACGTACCAAGCCCGCCACGGCGAAATTAATGGGCAGCGTTAAAAATGGATCTACTGCACATCGTTAAAAATGGATATATTATAATTAAAAAGATTATTTGCTGCTTAGAAGTCAGATGTCAGAGGTGTACTCTCTCTTTCCTTCCCAATTAATTTTTATTTTATGTTTTTTCCCCAATGGGGTTTTGGTTGACCTTTGAGCAGCGATTCCAAAGAATTAATAAAAATAGATTCTCCCCAAAGCCCGTCCAAAACTGGATCTTTTGGTTCAATGTACTATTACTAATTTACTATTGCAGGCCGGACTTCGACTCCATTTGTTTTGATTCCAATAGAGTGGGGCCGATTTAAGCTACCGAACAAAGCATATACGGATTAAAAACTAAACCAACCACTAGTAACTTGTAAACATAGTATAATATGGAATATATATTCCAATATAAAACCATTCCATCTACTAGTTGGTATCGTAGAGTCGTAGCACAAAATATGCTCAAATCAGCCACCAAGGAGTTCAGCAGGTCGCTGGGAAGGCATCTTTAGCTGTGTTGCGACGTGGGATGAGATAGCATGGAAAATGACACCCCTATTAATTATAGGCTTTTAATTAAGGTAATAAATTTGTGTTGTATTTAATAATCTGTGGAATTAAAAACCTATATCAATTACTTTCCTTTTTCCAGTGCAATGGTAGTTGTATAAAGTATAATAATAGTTGTATCGGTGCAATGGTAGTTGTACGTATCAGGGCAATGATACCAGTGTACACGTGCAATGGTAATTGAAAAAAGAATGTAATTAATATCTGTTTTTACTTCCCAAAGATTATTAAATGCAACATATATTTAATATCCAAAATAAATATAATTAATAGAGGGTGTCATTTTCCTGACTTCTTAGAAGGTAGTCAATCTAACTCATCCCTCGCGACGTCGTTAGTTCCCTGCGGCAGCGGCAACTCTTTATTGGAAGAATTGGAGCAATGGAACGTTTTATGATTTTGGCCTAACTGAACCCGTTAAGGGGGTTATCGGGTTTCGAAAATATCATTGTTTCAGTATGTCTAAATTTATATGTTGGTACTTAAAATTAATTTTGTAATGAAAATATCATTGGAAAATTACTCTTTGGTGCCTAATTTTTTTTCATGACATTTTAGTACCTTAGCTTTTCAAAATGTACATAATGGTCCAAAGGTTGGATGCGATTTGGATCTATGGAATCCACCAATCACTTTGATCGAATCTATCAATCCACCAATCCATTTGATCTACCAATCTATGAAACCAAACCATTTACCACCTTTACACGAGAGCCTTGACGCAACTGATAATATTAATCCCGACCTTATCCACATGATGCTCTCTGAATTTAAAGGCTTTAGGTCTCTATTCTTACTAAACAGAACCACGATGGGTGGTCGTGGCTCAACTCCACCGAGCATTGAGTGGCCGGTCGGCTTTCACAATGTTCATATGAGATTAGGGATGGCAATTTACCCACCCATGGGTAATTTTGCCCAAACCCAAGTAGACCCATTTATTATGGGTAGGGTTTGGGTGATGTGTGAATGGGTTTGGGTTAGATATGGATATTATCTAAATGGGTATGGGTTGGATATGGATATCCATTTACTTGAGAGTGTTTTAACTACACATGCAAAAATTGGACTTATTTGTAAAACTTGAAAATTTTAGGTACCAAAATGTAAGACCAAAAAAATTTAGGTACCAAAACGTAATTTTCCATCGAAATTTTGAGGACTTATATGCAAAAAAAATTAAATTTAGGTACTAAATATGCATATCTATTAAGTTTAGGTACCAAACTGTAATTTGTATTTGGGCATGGGTACAAACCCAAATCCAACCCAAAGTAAATGGGTATGGGTACAAACCCATCAAACTTTACCCATATCCATATATTTGGATTTCATACCCAACCCAATTGGGTTGGATAGTAAAATACCCATGGGTATGTGCAAAATTGCCATCCCTATATGAGATATGATATGGGTCTATCTAATAATACCAAAAAATAGCAAGTTGTGGATAGAAATAGCCAAAACGTTTCGAAATACCATAAAACAGTCAAAACTTTTAATATGTTGGACAAAGTCATTCGTTAGTTTCACCTTTAACAGTGTTGATGTGGCCAATGAAAATAGTGAGAGGACACTATTATGTGGTGAGGCACGAAGATAGTTGCATGCTTACCTTAATACATCAACATTTAATTGCGTCATATTAAAATATTTCATCCAAATTAATTTCATCAGCAAGGTCCTCAATCCTCATCGAGAAGATAAATCGGTCGGATATCAGGGATAGTCGGTGTGGGGGGGGGGTCCTGGAGGAGGTTGTGCATTGTTTTGCTTCTCATACGGGGTTTAGTGTTCGATTTGTAGGTCGGATTAGCAATAGGGTAGCCCATGTGGTGGCTAGAAATGCCCTTTCTTTGTCTCCGGCTACTTGTCGTTCTTTTGATTTCCAGGCCTAGCTGTTTTCCAGGGTGTAATTACCTATTCGGTTTCAATCAATATATGATTATCTTTTGTAAAAAAAAAAAAAAACTCACCCATTTCATTTCGATAACATGAAGCGACCCTACATCTTCCGCTCAAGTCGCCGTCATTTTATCTAGTTGTCATTGTCTTCAATAGGCCATCTTCGTCTCTTCTTCAAAATGCAACTCTTCTCCAACAATTATCGCTTTTGCAGGCGAACATCAAACACCAATAGGTCACTAAAACCACCAAATGAGATCACTTGATCAAGATATAAAGTTAAGACTTGAGAGCTTACACAGACAACTCTTCCCAAGGAACGCTTCATGGTACTGAGATAAATGTTTTTTATATAATTAATTTGAGATGTTTTTTAATACTAGGCAAATAATTGTTGATTCAAGATTATTTTTTTTATCTCCTTGCCACATCATAAAATCACATCCTCATCACAATTTATTTTAGCCATGGTGCAGAGGGTTTCTGTTTCAGCTAGAAATTCCATAAAATTAACAATACAGAAAAAGGAGACACGGTTTCTGCTTGGCGTAAGTGTCAGTTTTACTGTTTAGCCCGATATTTTTGAATAAGACAGTTATGGCCTACTTTTCAAATTAGTGGACAAATTTGGCCCGGGTTTTATTTACCGTCAAAATTGACGGTCAATGATTTTTTTTGTTAGTGACTCAGCATCCAGTGCTGACTAGGATCGTACACGTCTATCATTTATTAAATTATAAAAATTAGAACTAATTAATCATATAAAAAAATTCCAAATACCTTTTTGGTTTTCCCACTCTCCTCTTCGGGCAAATCCAAAATTGCCAAAACCCAAAACCCACTCGCCTCCGCCGTGACATATGGTGCTCTTCGCCACCCACCTGCCACATTACCATTTATTGAAGACCTCTAATATTTTCCCCTCTAGATTTTAGTAGGCTATATCTCTTTCGTTTTAAGTTGTAATTTAGTTTTTTTGCATAAATAAATCAGATCAATTGTGTTATTCAAAATGATATCCACTTTGATGTACCATTGTGATAATGCTTGGTATGACATAAGATCATACCACGTGGTATGAACATAATATAGTGTAAAAATAGTTGAATAACTGATAGTAAAAATAGACGAACTATCATTTACCGCATTCATCATTGTTTACCACCAGTCTTTTGTGCAAAAATTTCAAAATTCGAGTTAAAAATGAAGGTCCAAGTACTTTATGAAATTTATTTTTTTCTATATATATATTGAAAATGAACCTTATTTTGTAAATTAAAACGACTAGTTTCACTTGAACAAATTCTTTTAAAATCCAAATTAGAACAGAGTAGAGACCATTTTACCATAGCCCGATATTCCAAGAACGTGTACCCGGATCAATGAAAGCCGAGACGAAAGGAGAAGCAGCTGGAGCACCCGACCGAGTCGTAGGGGAAGAGGGTGGAAAGGTTGGGTGCCAATGATCCGAGAGAGCTCTAATGGAGATCCTGTCACCCACTTGCCAACGGAGGCCCTGGTTGAGCAAATCACAGCCAAACAGCACACTACCGGAGCAAATGCATGGCCCGGCTCGTAGGAAGTTATTGGGCCCACCATGGTCGCTTATTTTGTTTTGCCCAATGTGCTCGCGGAATAGGTAATCACTAGGCTAAGGGCTCAGTTCTCACTGAACAGAGCCTCGGTGGGCCGTCGTGGCTCAATTCCATTGAGCATGCAGTGGGCCGGCTTTCACAATGTTCAGATGTCGTTTTCCCATCACTAACCACCAGCCAGCAAATAAAGTAACTATCATTTGCGCATCAAACAACTTAAATGGATCCAAGCGTATCAGTCCACAAAAGCGCAGAGCAGCATCATCATCAGGAATGAAGAACACTGTCAGTAATCACAACATTAGCCTCGTCAAAAAAAAAAAAAAATAAAATATCACAACATTAGCAACCGCATAAGTAATAACATTAGCCACCGATTGTAGTTGGTCACTAAACCTCCAGTCTGTCGCTAATGCCGGATGTGCTTGGTCAAATTTTACTGTCACTTAATTTACTTAAAAAAACTCGTTTCTGGTTACACGAACTTAATTTACCCTGCCCTTGTTTCTAACTAGTTTTCCTGATCTAATCGAAACCATGGGAGGCAAGCGAGATCGGTTGGTTCATCACAGATTCCACAACCTTGACCAGCTTTGTGCTATTATGGTAGAGGTCCTCCTTCCTATAGAACAGAAAGAACCCTTTCACCGACCTCCACAACATATCCCTCACTCCTTCAGGAACCTCACTGTAATCATTATCTCACCATGTCTCGCGTCAACGATTTGATCACGTTTTCGACATCTTCCACCGCTTCTTCTGTGCCCATTCCTCTCTCCGTCACCCGTAGCGACACTGCATTCACTTTTCCTTGCTCAGCTTCTCTCTGTACGTAAACACACGGCAATTATTATGGACAAGATATATAGCCCCTTCAAAATTGTGGTCTGCATTCGTACGTACGTACCTCGAAGCCTACAACGTCGTTCAGTAAACGACCGATGGTGGTGTGGAGCATGAACAGCCCTTGAAATTGTGGGCCTCGAACGACGTCGTCTTCTAGCTTATGCCCGGCTAGGTACATGGCTGGGAGCAGGAAAGCTCCTACACCGAGCGTAATGGGTGAATTCTCCATGTACTCATCAAGTGTTGGGACCAAGTTCATCCTAGCCCATTCTGCTTCTTTCAACATTCCTCTCAGCATCTCCACCCACTACATTTATCGATGTACGATTTTGATCACTACGTAATGTTGTTAAGTTCATGTGATGATCACGTACGATTTTAAGTACGTAGCTAGACTTACAAGCTCAACGACGTGGTCCATAACATTACGCTCTTGTAGCGGGAAGGCTTTCTCCACCGTCTCACATATGGTGCTGTGAATTGCCCGGTATAGCGTTTCGACTAGCTTTGAGCACAACTTCACCTTTGGCCCCTCCACATCCCACCTGGAAAATTGCACAACTACTAGCTTTACATTATTGATCGTGGCATCGCGTCGATCGGATCTGGCTTAATTGATTAAGATGAATCCGACGACGTACCTCTCCAAGAGATGGACAAGGTTCAAACACTCCTCCGGAGTTCCATTAATGTCGAATAAGTCATCCACTAGAGAAATAATGAGGGCGTGTTTGGACAACAAGATGCGGGCATCCGAGTGGTTAGGGTCGGAGAAAGTTGCTGAAGCTTGAAAGTGACAGTAGCCTGTTTTCACCTTGGCCAACTTCATCTCGTACAGTTCCTTGTCTTTAAGCCACCTGCACAGGCAGACGCATACAGTAAGTACAAGATTGTTATACGTACTGAGGGACTAGCGCTAGCTCTGAACGTGACGATTGACTGGTATACACGACGTACAATATAAGTTGTTCTAGCTCTTGGCGGTGCAATGATTGACGAGAGTTGAAGTCTTCTACTGCTAGTTTCTGCAGAGCTTCGTCCCCGAAGGCCGCACAGCTACAATTCAACATACGGCAACTAGTCTGTGATGATTGAACGACGATGGATGGATGAATGAATGTATATAATTAAGTGTCGTAAATTAATTAATAAGAATCAAACCTGATGGAGGATTTGAGAAGTTTGTTCTTGGTCTTTTCGGGACGGTACTGTTCTGTATTTCTCTTGTAAGCCAAGAGTTCGACGTCAACGTGGAATGGATAATTGAGGACATCATTCACCTAACGAAAATATATAACTTAATCTTTGTCTTTTCGTCGCCTATGAAATTCTGTCAGTGATGTACTTTTCGCCACGGCAAAGTCTTCGTCACAAACATATACCCGACGAAAGTTTCCCCTTTTGCGACAGATTATTTTCGTCACTAATAGAGGTGGCAATTAGGATCCAAATCCATGAATCCAATCCAATCCATCCACCAAATTATCCACTTAATCCAATCCATTTAAATCCAATCCATTTGATCCAAATCCAATTGGATTGGTGGATTCATGGATCAATCCATGGATCCAAATGGCAAATTACGATTTGGTACCTATATTTTTTATATTTTACATTTTGGTACCTAAAATTTATATTTTTTATACGAAAAATATCATTGGAAAATTACATTTTGGTACCTAAAAATTTTCATTATGACATTTTAGTACCAAAACTTTTCATATTTTACATTTTGGTCCAAGCCTTGGATGTCATTTGGATTCATGGATCAATCCACCAATCCATTTGATCCAATCCATGAATCCACCAATCCATTGGATCCAATCCATTTGATCCATGGATCCACCAATCCTATCCACGAATCCACGAATCCGATCCAATTGCCACCTCTAGTCACTAAACATTTTGCGACCGATTTAATGCTTTTCTGCGATGATATTTCGCCGCCAAAATATGTAATTTTTTTGTAGTGATATATGCATATCAATAATTATCGGAATAAAATTAAAGCTACCATAATGGTTAACTATAATTATATATACTAGGTAGACCCGCTCGCGTTGCTTCGCGATGAACGAACAATGTGAAACAATGATAGGAAGAAAAGAAAAAAAAGAACAGGCTGCAAAATGGATTGAAGATGATAAAAGAAACATTAGAGGCTCTTACCCAACCAAATCGTAACCCATTGTTTGGACTGAATTGCAGCACCTGAAGTAAACACCTTATTATTTGGCCGACTACAATTTCGGCTAGTGGACAGTATCTCGGGATTTATGAGTTAGAATGATGCGAAAAACATCCTAATTGACATAATATATTGATATTCAATTAAGATAGCTATCGTCAACAACTCCCTTGACAATCACCTTTTACACGGCTCGAACAACACTGGATACAACAATATATAGAAGCCAAGAATTCTAAAAAGGAAGTGAAAATGGATGAGCGGGGATCAGGCATAGATTGAACTTCAGCTGATGATAATTAAACTACCTAGAAAGCAATTACAGAATTTAGTTAGAAATCCATCCCAAAAAAGCAGTCAAATGAACCTATCAAAAATCATATGTATGGCATCCATAGACATAAATGGATAGTAGAGGGTAAGTTCCATGTATTAGGGATAAATCTTTATTCATATTGACGTAAGTTTCCTTCTCCTACATGAACCTGTACAATTGTGGGTATAAATGCCCCTTCTCAATGTCAATACAAACACACGATTCACATTCTTACAGCTTTAATCCCGAAACCCTAGCTCTTCGTTGCAATCTAGAATTTCAGCGCCCACGATCAGCGTCGAGTCGCCTGCTGTCCAACATGTCCGACAACAGCTCGGTCACGTCAATACAAACACACAATTCATATTCCTTACACCATGGAGCCAACAGCTGGGCGCAAAAACAACCTATTGAAACACTATAGCAATTCAACTTACAGAATCAGTTGGAGTAACTATCATGAACCTGTGTTTATATATAAGGCAACATCTTACTAATCAAAAAGAAATTGATTAAAGGTTAAAGAAGAATTTATGAACTACACGACACAGGAAGTTCGGTTTCTTCATCCCATGGCAACATATGTTCATCGATTGAAAGAAACTGTGGATTGAGGAGAAATTGACATGAAAGACGGCTGCTTTAGTTTAATGAACTTTATTTTAATCCTCCTCTGTGATTCCATAATACCAATAAAACTTCTATTTCTATTCAATTACAGAATGCTAAGAAATTGAGTCCATTTCAGCCTAGAAATCTCACCAATTTAAATGTTGCAGAATAAGATGCTTACAGTTCAGCCTATAAGTCCTCAAATGCATACCTGCTAACCCAGGCATAAAAGCAAGCAATCTGATTTGTAATAAAGCTCTGACCTGACATTGTAAGCAAGCAAAGAGTTTTAGATATAAAGAGCCACGAATAGATGTAAACCTGGAGTTCATCAGTGTTCACTGAGCAGCTTAAGAAAGCATAATCAACCTCACCGAACCTCAAACAGAATGAAAATGGCAGTGCACTGTATGGGTCGAGCAAATAAAACAAAGAAAGAACATATAAAAGATTTTTAATGGGAAATAGCAATTATTATGAACGTGTAAACTTAGAGTTAATGAGAATAGTGCCAAGTCTAGCCATGGCATCCTGATAAGCTGATTTTTATCACCATCTCTCTAAGGTTACAAATTCAACACACAACAAAATGGCAGCATGCTGATTGCTGATACACCATGTTCATTCCTTGTCATATCTTGAAATGCCTTTTGCCAATTACTTTTTTCATTATTGGTCTTAGTGGCAAAAAGAAACCACACAAAGAAAAGGGCAACACAACCAAAACCGAATGCTAATTTAACATGTAGATACTGCATTACTGGCAACACTTGTATCAGTACTTACATTCAGTAGGTAGCTCCAATAGTCTCCACTTCATTGAGATATGAGGAATGTGATGTTAAATGAAGAAGAATAAGTGATACTGCTGTCAAGTAGAGTAGTCTAGTTAGTGTAGTCATATAAGGGGGGAACAACCCCTAAAGGGACATAATTACCAACAAAGGGGACAAATCTGCAATGTAAAGGCAACTGCACACAAAATGGAGATCACGACATTATGTGTGATGGTTTAATTTTGTTCAGTCCTACCTTCTCAAGAACACTTAGAAAGCAAGCAACATATTATTGCACATCAACATTCATAAACCGTAAAAATACTCAGATTCATGAAAATAGTAGGATCTAAGGTAGAGCAAAATAAAGATTACTTCTGTCATAGCAAAAACTGCAAAATTCACAGAGAACAGTGGCTAACCTGGACCTACTTCAAAAGCACATATATGCTTTCTTGAGTTGCTGCTCCCAATCAACTGTCCTCTCCAGAAGTTATAGTACAGGTACTCCAGTTTTTGGTTAATCCAAAGGCAAGCATTACCTGCACATCTATGCACCACATACATTTAATAGATAACCAAAACTACCATTTTGATTTCAATACTCAATAAGAAAAAGAACACAGACCTTGAAATCCCATGAAGAGGTCACACGTGAGGGAACTGACATACATTTTTTATGGAGTTAGACTCAAAGGACAGTTAGAATAGGGGAAGTCCCCTAATTATGTTTCCACACTATTATTAATCAACCTGCCATCTGTGAAGGACCTCTACCGAGTTCTCCACACTCGGAAATCAAACGAAAGGGAAAAAGAAAGCTTAAATGGGTCGATCATGGACGTCAATGCAGATATAGAACCCAAAATAACAAAACTTCTCACAGTAAATTTGGAAGGTTGAGAAATAGAGTCCTAAAATAGAAGTTCCTCCACCGAATGAATCTTTGACAACAACAAAACTAATTAGATCAAAGTGAAACGGAGGGAAAAACTTCAAATGATGTTTCTGGTTCGCTTGCCCGCTCTGACGACTCTAAAGTACAGATCGATTGTCAACTCTAAAACACCGAATCGCTATCCGAAATAGCAAACAAAAGCGATGAATCAGAAAGATAAAACAGGACAGATTACCAGGGGGAGAAGGGGAAAAAAAGATAAGGAAAAGACATATAAAATTACCTTCGTTAAAGTACCTCCATCCCACTACAATTTACTGCAGGTTTGATGAAGCATAGTTCCTGGAGGAATGCAATGAAAAAGTTAAGTATCTCCATCCCACTACAATCTAAAAGGCTAGAAACCCATGCTACCATCATATCAGACGCTGCAGAACTTTATATAACAGGCTTTAACAGAATCTGAAAGGCTATAAACCAATGGTAACATACTGCAGAGTCCTGTACAGATGGACCTGACTCGAAGTCGTAAGCTGTAGCCTGAACAAAGTGGATGATATGATAGCTACGAAAGGGCAGTAACGAAAAAGCCCACGCAATGATAGGTAGGTAGTAGTGAGACAGTAGTAAGATATAAAGAACAATTATATCATCGAAATTAGGACAATGAAACAGGAAAGAACAAAGGAAACACCATTCGTGAAATATGAAAGATAAATCTGCAAACCACATGATGCAGCTAGCACAAAGGAACAAAATACAACCTTAAAACCAATATCTGGAACATATAGGCCAGAGGATAAATTTTGAAAATACAATTTCCAGTCTCTGTGTTCATTACATGCAGGTTAGAATAGAAATAATTCCAGAACTGACCATGTTGATATCATCATCAATTTGATTCATTGAAGTACTGAAGTTTGTTCGATCAATCGGTTTGATTGTTTTTCCCAGTAACTACTTTTCGTTTCCAGTACTATAAAGTAAAAAGTTCCATATTTACCTAAGCAAAAGTTTACAATTTTTGGACACCTTCTGCAGCAAAAAATATAATCGGCAAGAAAGTCAATTCAGGATTTTGTTAACGTTATAACAGAGAACTTGATGAGATCCTTTTTTAATCCCTTTTGAATCCTTCTAACATCAATGATATCACCAATGCTCATCCGATAGATTTCATGCTTGTTCCACCATAATCAAATTCCAGGTAAGCTTGAGTTCGATTACCACGAATGACAGACTTCTTTAGATAGACTTACATTTATTTGAGGTGAATCAAATCAATAGCAAAAGGAAAATCAAGGAATAACGATTCGGAGGAGGGAAGTGAAGGCCTTACATGTGAGGGCGGACCGTACAAATGCTGGTTAAAATGGGGTAACATTCTCATATCAATCTGTTGTTCTTATATCCTGCAGGAAAACAAAGCGAGTTGGTTCAACAGCAAAAAAAAGGCGACTCGGTTGGTGGTTGCATTAGGTGAAATCATATGTATATACACACCTGGGGATTGAGGGATTGGAGTAGTTTGACATAATTAGAAGTGGAGCACCATTCACGAAGATAGCTTGCCTAGCAGATTCTAGCAAGGTGATTTTTCTCCCACCTGGTCAAGCATTCATGAGGAGATCCAAGATCTCTGATGCACCATGTCACAATTATTATGGTGGACCCTGGTGGTGCAACTTCAGGCAACTCACCCAAACTGCGAAAACAAATTCCAGTTCCCATATAAATGTCGAGATTTTCCCAACTGAAATCATGAACTGGTTGACCCTAAGAATGCATCATTAAGTGTCGAAAAGGAAACAAAGACCTTGGCTGTATCAGACATATGATCTCCACTCTCCATGGACCAAACCAGATCAAAATCCCCATCTGTGAATGGCTGATCCAAAGCATTCCAACTTGGAAGAATGGTAGAAGAAGTTGACCTGGTCAGCTATATCTTGAGCACCTCCAAGAGCATCGACTCTTTGACAGTGCTCCCCTGTCACTTGTATCCATATTCCTGGCTAAGTAGCCTACATCCACCACGTTCTTCGCCCTCTACTCTGCCACAAAATCAAACAATCAGGAAAAACTCACATTTTGAATTCAGCTAAACTACTTACCGATTACAATAAACCAATCAAGATGAACCGTAAAGTTAGAGAGAGAGAGAGAGTTGTAGGTGGGAGAACATATATTTTCCTTGGTTTGATCACTAACTAAGCCAACTAACCTAAGGAATGAACTATAAGTATGCAATTCATAGTGCTACGACAACATTGGAAGTTACAGGACACAGCAAGCATAAAATCCTCATAAATTTAGGGTAAAGGGTTGTACTATCAATTACGGCAAAGTTTGAGAGAAAACATGAATTGCAGCATAATGCATATGAAGAAGATACGCCAATGGGCACCCATTATAGAGAAGAGTAAGTAGGAAAACGAAGAAGCCGAGAGTAATAGAGAAGGCAAAAGCTATAGTAAATTCAACTAACCACTTCTCATGTTGAAAAATGAAAACACGACTGGCCCACCAAAATCCCCAATAAAAAGCAGGTTGTATACATTTTGGAACCAATATCGATACGGGAAGGAGATTTTGTCGCTGTAATGGCAGAGATCGAAGTAAAACTCAGACTACGATTCATATAAACTGCTAGATGGAAGAAATAGACACACAGGGGCAGACAAAGAGAAGCAATTCTATGATTCGAAATAAAAAACCAAAAGGCAGATGGAACATAAAAATTAAAGAATAGAATGGCCAGAAACCGACCGTATGTTCATCAGGGAGGTCCGTTTGCCTTTACAGTCGTTATGCCTTTTATCTCTTCATTTCCACCTTGTCTTTTCTTCTTTCTCTTCTTCTTCTTCTTCTTCTTCTTCTTCTTAATCTTCTGCTTCCTTTCCTTCTGCTTTTTGTTCTTCATTGTCTTTGCCTATGAAAACGGTGAGATCAGATCAATCTAGGGTTTGTGTTCTTGTATTTTTGGGTGAGAATTTGTTAAGAGAGAGTCAAGAAATATGAATTTCCACAAAGAAAACCATACCTATTGAAGCACAACACCGCCGTCGGGTTCACTCAAACTTATCAACAGAACCCAAGTCTCAGAAGAACGGATCATAATTCATTCATCAATGAAATGAGGGCGATAAAGATTAAATAACAACAGAATGCTGCAGACTCATGTTCAAAGCAAGCTGAGGGAGAAGCCACCTTTTAACTTAGGAACCAGCATTAACCGTACTCTTTTTATACAGGAATTAGTTCTACTAATAAACAACATAATTTATTAAATCTAACTGTTAAATTTAGGTGTAAGAAATATCTTGAAGCTAATAAATCTAATCATTACATTCAGACAGACGACTTCCTATGTGTAGTGTCATCAATACTCACATTAGATTCAGCTAAATTGGTTTCACTCTCTTTTGTAGAAGGTCTCTGTTAATTACTATCATTGCAAGTTGTGTATTCAAATCTATTGCTTGTTACTGGGACCTAAACACAGATATATAAAAATTAGTTGTGACTCACAAGGAAGAAAGCATTTGAATAGGTTCCTCGTGTAAAATAACTATGAATAGAAATAAACATGAAGGAGAATAATACAAAATACTAAATGGCAAACCTACATGGTGACCAGAGCAATGAACATGAGCTTTTACCAGTTTCAAATAAAACTGACCAATAGAGTAAAAACCATGCAATTGAATAATGTAAGAGTTCTTTGCATGTCGGTGGCAGAGACGATTTACATGGTCCTACGTACGGTGAATCATGGGCTAATATGCAGGTGCAAGTAAATGAAAACGACAGGTACTTTTATTTTTTGCTGCGTTGAAATGGAGCCACATAAGAGAACTTAATCGGTACAACATATAAAACGAATATAGGCAAAGTTTTTGGGCCAATAAAAAAGTTCATTAGAAAGGAAGGCATTGATGTGGTGCACACAAAATGTGCAGATGGTTTAGTTTGCTGACTTGAAAAAGGTTTTGAAAGCGCCATTCTTACCCCAAATCATTTTCCGCAAGTCGTAAGGCTACTTTGACACATTTTGGACTGCATCAAGGTGCTGAACTACCATTTCTCATAGACTTTTTTGTATGGTTCCAAGTCAGTCCTAGAATGATCATCCCCCCTCCAAAAGATCATTTTTCCAATCTCTCCATATGCTGCTACCAAGAACAACAGCCACGTAAAAAAGGTAGTTAGACCATGAAAATACAATCAACAAACATGTAAAACAGACAAATATACATGATTCCAACATCCATACCTCTCTCTATCTAAAGCAAGAAGCTGGAGTTAGACTAAGTGAGCCACCAATTAGAAGCAAAACTCTCCTATGATACGATCATACAATGATATTAAAGTGTTAGTATGGTTGAGAGAGCCAATATAGCAAACTTTTACTGAAAAATAGAACTGAACTAAATGCGCATCATGAAACACGATGATCAAGGCCAACTCCATCTTAAAACTGCTACTCCCATCTGGCGCTGCATATTTTTAACCTTTTCCCTCATCCAGCATAGCTTACATACAGGTTTGTAGCCTGTTCCTGAAGTCATTGGGTAACACAATGAATGCAATAGAAGATATTCAGGGGAACTGAACTACAAAGAGCAAGTCTGAATAAAAATGCGAAGGAAAAAGAAAGAAATCCCAAAAAGAAAAAGAGATGCATGCTGATGTATGAGACTCCACCATTTTAGACATAACTATAGAATGAAGATGTTGAAAATGTTTAAACAAAAATCTAAGAATGGGATCAAGCAAATAAAAAATCCAACCATGTTACTGAACTTGCACTTGTGCAAGCACAAACACTTGTTATTGATAACCATAGTCATGTTGAAAGGGTTCAAACAACATACATCTCATTAGAAACCCCAATTTCTATACAGAAACCCACCATAATCTCTGCTAAAAGCAAAAGAAGCCTAAATCTGAATTTATTTAGTGGAAAATGAATTATCAAATACACAGAAACATGTAAAGGGCACCTAGACACACTTTGTACCTCTGCTAGCAAGCTACATCGCTATATTTTGGTGACCGGCAACGACCACTCCAGGATTGTCGATGACTTCTTCTTCCTCTTCCCATTGCTGAAATCAATTAAAAAAACAATATCATCAAAGAAAGGCAAGAACCAACATGTAAACTAAATCAAAATCCAAAAAGAAAAAGCTTACCTAGAGAGTAGTGGCCAGCTCTAGTAGCCTCTTCTGGATTTGGAAATATACACCGACAATAATCCCTCCCTTATCTTGCCTCTCGTTTGAACTTGAAATCCCAAAAGGAAAAGTCTGATCAGATGAGCAGAAACTAACAAAGCAAAAAATAAAAAAAATGCAATATGCGAAAAGGAAAACACCCCTGACCTAAGTCGTCGTCGTAGGGACCATCACCGGAGTCCATTTCAGGTCTTCCCATCGCCGGCGCGGTCGTTCGCGTCTTTTCTTCTAGCCGTGGTTTCCAAGAAAATCAGTAAGAGAGAGTGGAATAAAGATCGTTAGGAAAACTCAAAAACAGAGGAAGACTCACAAGCTAGGCAATCAATCGTCCAACAACCCACGTTCTTTGGCAATCTCGTCGGTTCATGGCCGAGTTCAGAGATCTGGGACTAAGAGATTACGGAGAGAGAAAGAGATGGAGGCGGAGCTGGTTTTGGAGGGGACGGGAGAGCATGATCAAGGTGAGTGGTTTAATTCATCTCCTCATTGTTCTACTTCTTCTTCTTCTTCTTCTTCCTGCTTGTCTTTCTCCAATGAGGAAAATGGAGAGATGGAGATGGAGTGGTTGGTGGATACAGGAAAAAGATGAATATGTGGATGGGAATAAACGTAGGAGAGAGAGGTGGAATGGAAAAGAGAGAAGGAGAGAGAAAGCAGATCCAGAAAGATGGAGAGAGGAATTGGGGATTAGACATGAGGAAGAAAGAATGGATAAGTAATAAAAAGTCTCCATTTGTCAGAAAAAGCAAAACACGTAACAGCAGAGAGAAAAGAGAGAGGAAAGCAATGATTACAAACAAGAACTCAGTAAAAGTAAAAAGCAAACCAAGTGACAGTGTTTTGATGTGACTCTAAGAAACAGTAAAGTTGTAACTTGTTCTTTTAAAGAGATAATATGTACGTACCTGATTGACAATGTTGGGTGGAGCAGGACTATGATCATGACTGTATCCCAAAGCTACCTGTGTTAGGAACTTGGCTGTCCACATCTGCTGGCTTTCAAGGATGGTTGAACCGTGACAGCCATTGATTCTGGCCGCTTTGTGCAGCTCCAACACTGCTTTCTTATCCTTCAAATACCCTTCCATCGTATCGGTCCAGAATCGACCCTCTGCGAATCGATCAAACACGTCTATACAGCACATCCCATGAATCACACATACATATGGATCAGTACAAATTAAAATATTACGTACGAGCTAGGCAACTAGCAATAGTATAAGTGACTAAACGGTTATTAATTACCAGGCGTGACTTGGCGTCCATTGAGGCGTAATATCCGAAATGCCATGGCACAAGTTGTGGCGTCGAGGAATATCTCTTCTTCTCCCTGCTGCCAGCATTTGTAGATCTCATCCAAGCTCGTCTGAATTTCTTCCACAAAGTGGCGATCGATCCCCAGACTCTCCACAGCATCAATCAGACAGAGCCGGGCATGAATTTGGTGAGGGGAAACTGCTGGAGCTGGAAGAAATATAGATATATGCAGAGGAACTATATCAATGGTTGCAATAGAGAAGAGTCTAATTGATTCGGCGGTGACAAAAACTTGGTTGTTTCGCAAACCAAGTATGTTGGTTACGAAAAAACACATAATCGGTCACTAATACTATTTTCGTAAACTGGTCGTCAGTAAAGATTTTAAATGCCGTCGCAACAAACCAACCAACCTCCAACTGCGTGATCAGCCGTATTATTGTGAACCAGTGACTGGAGGTAGCGAAGTGCCCCTGCGTCCTGAAGGCGAACAAAAGCCGCGGCCGTCGCTGATGGCGAGTTGAGAAGCGAACCGTTCTTCCTCTGGAATTTCATGGCCGTTTCCCAAGCTCGAGTCGACGAGTTCCCGATTCCTTCTGAGATGTAGGCCAGGTAGGCGTTTCGACCACGGGTGTCGCGATTCTGACCGGTCACGAGCGCAATTTCCCTATCGCGGATCATGTTCTCGACGTGCGCGGCATCAATCGGGAGACTCAGATTGAAATCTCGAACACACGTTTGGATCATGGAAGGGAACACTACGTCGAACCCAATTGGAGTTTGCTGCCGCGAATCCGCGAGGGAGCTCGAATTCGCCTCCACGAAAGCCAGAGCTGTGCGCGCGGTGTGAACACGGCGTGGCAGCGGTTAGACTCTCCGATCTAATTACATAACAATGCTCGTAGTATAAAGTAATACTCGACGGGATGGATTATTATACCGTTGTGAATGTGGTCGTCAGTCGTCACCAATGCCCCAGCGCTTGAGCGCGAGAATGCAAGCCAAAGTGGAGGAGAGTGTGTCTTTCATTAGCGTCGGGTCTCTGCTGTGAACAGGCTGCAAGCCCCAGGAACCATCACTGTGCTGATTCTTTAGTATCCAACTAAGGCAGCCTGGGAAGCTGGGAGCGCGTGAAGCCGCTGCCGCGGGAGATGGAACCATGGCCACCCATGCGGTGTCGTATGGGGAGGCTGACAGCTCGAGTTTTTGGAAAAGCTTCTTGATTCTCTCCTTGGGATCGCCGGTAGCGCTGATCTGCATATGCATTCAATTTAAAATCAATTGCGATTGATTGATAACAGTACAAGTCACTAGCTACATGAGTGATCATTAATATTACCAGCTGCGTTAAGGCTCCGGGCTCCACTGTTGTTGTTCCATTCAGGTCGGTGGTGGTCAATATTGTTCCCAGCTGGTTCGTTGAGATGCTGGAACTCAAGCGAGAAGAATGCATACTGATTGTACTGGGAGGAGCGAGCGTGCTAGCCAGCTAGTTGCTGTCGGATTTCTGTTGAAAGGTAATTTGTTTTTGATGAAAGAAAGAAGCAGCATATGGGTGTGTGCAGTGTAGTGTGTTGTATTTTTAAAACAATAGTTGTCCGAGGAAGATAAATCCGAGGACTGATTTGTAATGAATGTATAGTTATAGGATTGATTTGTAATATTTGTTTATTGTTTGTTTTCATAGAACTGAGTAGGTCTATATATATGTAAATGTAACAAGGATATTGTAAGTTTTCCATTTGATGAAATAAAAGCAAGCCAGGTGGCGTTTTCTGTTTGGCCAATGGACAAACCATACAAGTATTTTCTTACTTGTGTCGATGATCATTCTAGACATACATGGATTTATCTACTTAAAACCAAAAGTGAAGTAAGAAATATTCTTTTAAATCTGCCAGCCTTTGTTAGTACTCAATTTTCATCCAAAATTAAGATAATACGAACTGATAATGGCCAAGAGTTTAATATTCCATCTTTTTATGAAACATTTGGTATAATTCACCAAACTACTTGTGTTGCAACTTCACAACAGAATGGTAGAGTCGAACGTAAACATCAACATATCTTAGCCGTTGCACGGTCTCTTATGTTTCAAGCTTCACTTCCTATTTCTTTTTGGGGTTTTGCTGTACTGCACTCTGTTTTTCTCATTAACAGATTACCTACTCCAACCTTACAGAATAGATCTCCTTTTGAAATTCTGAACAATTCAAAACCTTCTTACTTAGACATTAAGGTTTTTGGGTGCCTTGTATTTGCTTCTACTCTTCAGCAGAACAGATCTAAATTTGCACCAAGGGCTGATCCCTCTGTTTTCCTAGGATATCATCCTTCTGTCAAAGGGTCTAGGTTATACAATCTGATTACACATCAGATTTTCTATTCATGTGACACTGTTTTTCATGAACACGTGTTTCCATTTTTTAAAATGAATGATAAAATGGACTTTGATGTTTGTTTTCCTAACATCCAAGTTCCAGATTCTGTTTGTATTCCAGTCCCACAACATAACTCTACTGATCATGCTTCTTCTGTACCTCCTGAAGAGCCTGAAAATGACATTGTAGATATTATCCAAGCGGTTGAACCGCCTCCTAATATTCGTCCCTCTAGACTCAAGGTACGACCTCAAAAACTTAAGGATTTTGTGTGTGATTTCCCTACTGCTTCTTCTTCTGTTTCTTTTCCAATATCAAAAGTGATGTGTTTTGATAATCTAAGTGCTGAATATCAAAAGTACATACTTGCCACATCTGAAATTGTTGAACCACGTACTTATAAAGAAGCTATAAAAGATCCTCGTTGGGTTGAGGCTTGTAATACTGAATTGGCAGCACTAGACAGAACCAAAACTTGGACTGTCGTTGAACTTCCTGCTGGAAAAATTCCTATTGGTAACATGTGGGTGTTCAAAATAAAGTATCTTGCTTCGGGTGCCATCAAACGTTTTAGATCTCGCCTAGTGGCTAAGGGTTATACTCAAACCCCAGGTTTAGATTACTTAGACACCTTTGCTCCGGTTGTGAAACATACTACAGTACGTGTAGTTCTTTCATTAGCTGCTATTAATGGTTGGTTCTTGCATCAATTAGATGTTAATACAGCTTTTCTTCATGGTGATTTAGATGAAGAAGTGTACATGAAAATTCCACCAGGTTTGGTTGTTCCTTCTCACTTTAAAAATCCCGTTTGTCGTCTTAATAAATCGCTTTATGGTTTAAAACAAGCTAGTCGTCAATGGAATATCAAATTAACATCATTTCTTACTTCTGCTGGTTACAAACAGTCCAAAGCAGATTATTCTATGTTTGTTAGAAGTGTAGATTCTTCGTTCACTGTTGCATTAGTGTATGTCGATGACATTATTTTAGCTGGAAATGACTTGAATGCTATTTCTGACATTAAACTCAAACTTGATCAGACTTTCACTATTAAGGACTTAGGTGAATTAAAGTACTTCCTTGGTCTTGAGATTGCTAGATCTTCTAAAGGAATTATGTTGTGTCAACGCAAATTTGCCTTGGATCTCTTAACAGACACTGGATTTTTGAGTGCAGAACCGGCTGATTCACCTACTGTTCCGGGTCCTAAGTTGTCTGCCAAATCGGGTAATCTCCTTCCTGATCCTTCCTCTTACAAGAGATTAATTGGTCGACTTTTATGCCTGTGTAATACACGACCAGACCTTGCATATGCAGTACACCAGTTGAGTCAGTTTACACATTCTCCTACTGATGTGCATATGCAAGCAGCAGAACGCATTCTTCGTTACTTAAAGGGTACTGTTGGTCAAGGATTACTATTTTCTAGTGATTCTAAAGTGCTTTTACAGGCCTTTTGTGACAGTGACTGGGCTGGTTGCCCAGACACTCGTAGATCAACTACTGGTTTCTGCGTTTTGCTTGGTAATTCTCTTATTAGTTGGCGTTCGAAAAAGCAAAAGACTGTCTCTCGTTCTTCTGCAGAAGCCGAGTACAGATCTATGGCTAGTTTAACTTGTGAATTGATATGGTTGAGATACATTCTTCATGATTTACATGTTGATTTAGCTGCTGCCACTCCTGTCTTCTGTGACAGCATGTCTGCTATTAAATTGGCTGACAATCCTATTAATCATGAACGTACTAAGCATATAGAGATTGATTGCCATGTTATTAGAGATCAAATTCTGAATGGTGTTATCAAGGTTCTACATGTATCTTCAGCCAATCAATTGGCAGATATGTTCACCAAATCCCTTCCAGTTGCTGTGTTTCAGTTTTTGCAGAACAAGCTGGGACGTTTGGACATATACGCGCCAGCTTGCGGGGGGGAGTTGTCCGAGGAAGATAAATCCGAGGACTGATTTGTAATGAATGTATAGTTATAGGATTGATTTGTAATATTTGTTTATTGTTTGTTTTCATAGAACTGAGTAGGTCTATATATATGTAAATGTAACAAGGATATTGTAAGTTTTCCATTTGATGAAATAAAAGCAAGCCAGGTGGCGTTTTCTGTTTTACAAGCAAACAACAATAGCCAAAATTATGAGGTATTGCTCGTTTGAGGTTTTCTAAATTGAGTGAAAACATCAAACATTTTCTTTGTGATTGGTCCTAATTTTTTTTTTTTTTATGAATGTCCTAAATTATATTAATTTTGGCTAATACCCATGAATTTGGTCCGAGAGCTTTATTTTCCTTTTAGTCGTGAATTCACAAAAATGAGTGCATTTGAAATAATAGTATTAAGACATAGAATTTTGGATTTTAATTGATAGTATTAGCCTAAGACATATGGTGGCTTATTAGGTGTACTTACAAAAATGAGCCCATACAATGCACCTAATTCTAAATGTAGCCTTAAGACATTGTATTTTGGATTTTAATTGGTAGCGTTAGTCTGATATGATGATATAACATAGGATCACAACTAACCAATATTGCCTAAAACCTAAAAAACCCCAAATTATAAATCCTAACCCTAAATTTCTAAACATTAAATTCTTCAAATCAAGTGTGCGAATTCATGCACTTTCTTGCCCATCATATCATAAATGATGATTGACATCGTTTTAACATGAATCGCTTGCTCAAAATTGTGATTATGAAGCGAGAACATTGAATGCACGCAATGTAGTCAAAAGCGCAATTCTATCTAAAAGCGGAAAAGGGATAAAATCGTAAAGCGTAGAATTAAAGCATAAAAGTGTAAGTTTTTGACGCATGCTCTAAAATATGAGTGCACAGAATTTAGAAAAGTTAATAAGTACCTGCAATTCATGTCTAAAGTAGAGCAACTTATGGCTTCTTAATAATAAGTTCATAAACATAAATCTTAACAATAAGCCACCTTTCCCTCTATGCTAATGAATTTGGGAAGAGCCTAGCTGGTGAATTAGATTACTATATTGAAGCTGAGAATGCATCCAAGTATCTGATATATATCTTTTAATCTCAAATGTATCATATTGTTGGTAATTTATCATTAAAATATATTTTTTATAATTAATGTCATGAAAAGAATACCTATTTAGTGAATTAAAAACGTAAAGAGTTTTGGTGAACTAGAAGCGTAAAAGCGTAAGCTTTTAAGCTTTACACTAGTGGGAATAAAAAAATTAACATTAATCTGACTTACTTTTTTTCTTATCATGCATAGACATGCAGAAATACATCACGTGTATTATTTAGAACTTCCATTTAATGTCAATATCGAATTAGGTAAGCGACCTCGCTTTCTTGGCAAATGTGCAAGTCGTTGTAAACAAGAACTCCGAGGATTAGGTAAGCGCCGGTGGCGGACTGAAAAGTTCCGCTCAGGCCGATGAAATCCGGATGATCCTCACGAAATAATGCATAGACGAAGACAAGTTAGACAACAAAATGAACTGCTATTTGCCGTCCGATACATTACTATTTGCCGCCCATTGTTTTGAGAAATTGACATTTTTGCCCCTAGCCCTTTGGAAACCCTACCATCACAAACCAACCCACAACCGTAGACAACAATCTCCCTCCCGAGATGTTACCGCTGCCGACAAACCACCCCACCACAACAATGGCAGATTGCCTCTCTCATCTTGCCGGAGATACAGATCCTGATAGTCGCCTCCCCGCCGTCCATCGCGATCTTCCGGCGCTCGCGAGTTGGTCCCTCTTTCGACGGCGATTAAAAGCCCATGAACCTTCTCGATTGCAGCTCACGCGTCGTCTTCCCGGCACCGTCAACTACCCATCGCCTGACGGAGATGCACGGTCCGCCACCGGAGTTCGGACGGGGTCCGCCGCCGGATTTCGGACAGGGTTCGCTCCCGTGGTTCGGACGCGGTCCGCCCCCTGATTTCGTACGGGGTCCGCCGCCGTAGTTCGTACGGGGTCCGCCGCCGTGGTTCGGACGGGTCCGCCCCCGGAGTTCGGACGGGTCCGCTGCCGGCGTCGAACCTGTCGCCGGTGACATTTTCTTTCCCCAAAAATCGATCGGATTCATAATTAATATTAACTATTTATTTCTATAATTATTAAATACCAAAATTTCTCTAATTAACCATATATATTCATTTCTATAATTAATATCCACCGATAATTATGGAAATAATTAAATAAGACAAGACATGGAAATAATCCTAATTAAAAATCACCCCTAATTGACAACCATAAAAATTCTTTTAATTACCTTGTCTTTCCTTAATTAACCCACGTTTAATTTCATTTACTTAATTGACATCCAAAAAAAGATCTGTAACTAACATGTCCTATTCCATACCTACGTCTAATTCAATTCCCTAATTAACAATAAGAAAAATAATTCCCTTAATTAACACGACTAAGCGCATAAAATGGAGATTTTGTATTATTATATTAATGACAACCCAAACAAATTCCTTAATGAAACCATACGTGGGTATTGGTTCAAATAATTATAAGTTTAAATAATTATTATTTATTGATTGTACAATACTTATAATTGTTCATACTTTATTTATATAATTAGGGTTTGATGTTTACCAATTAGAGTTCCAGTTCGACCAATTAAGATATAGGGATATTAGGGTTTGAGTTTGACCAATTAGGGTTTATGGAGAATTTAACAAAATTAAATAAATATAACTCAAGATGAAAGATAGTGAAAATAAATAAAGCATTTGTTTCCCGTTTACACCTTCTACCCCTCTCAAACCTTAAACCCTTATTCCAACTAAATAATTACATTAAACCTCGATCGATCCAATCCTACTACGACATTGTTTTAGAGGCAAAATCACCTCTGCCTCCACTAACAACAATCATTCGTATCGTCGAAATAAGCATGGTAGGCTCAAGAAACTGCTCGTTACACTATTCTACATAATTTAATTATTTTATCACTACCAACCTCTTTCCTAATTAAATGATAATATATATTGATAAAATAATAATACCAATAATCCCCCAATCCATCTCACTTAACGGAACAATCCTAATTCCTAAACCATTATCATTTAATATTATAATAAAAAATTATATTAATCACTTCTCTCTCCAATCAACCTCCCACAAATTTCGCTTCCGTCGATTATCTAACAACAATTGTTTGCATCGTTAAAATACACATGGTAGGCCTAAGAAATCGTTCGTTACGACCCCCAGAGCCCAAAACAGCCTCAATGAAAGTTCTGATAATTATAAATAATTATAAATCTGATAATTATGCATATTAAAAAGAGTTTTAAATACTTATAAAATCTGATAATTATGGAAACTAACATTTCGCCACCAATCTTGTGTCTCTCGCCACCAATCTAATTTGTTTTCTTTAACTAAAACACAAGACCTTCATTTCACAAGCTTCCTTAATTACCCACCTCCAATTAACTACGGAAACTTTAATTATATAGAAAAAGTTCTATTACCCACGTCCATTTAACGACCCAAGGCCCAAGCCATATTCAACTACGTCTCATTATATAAAATACTCTTTCCTTAATTAATACACTTTTCTTAATTAATTTAGCGTGTCATTCCGAATTATCATTTATTAATTCACTTTCCTTATTATATTCCCTGTAATCCCTCCCCGTTATGTACGTAATTTGGGATGAACTTGCCCCGCCGTCGAAGAGAAAGAAATCACTGCTCCCCGTCAATATCAGGCTTTTTTTTATCCGTCCGCCCTCCGGCGTCTGACGGGGTCCGCCGGCTGCCATCGGACGGGGTCCGACCGTCGCCATCGGACGGGGTCCGCCGGCTGCCATCGGACGGGGTCCGACCATCACCATCGGATGGGGTCCGCCGGCCGCCATCGGACGGGGTCCGACCGTCGCCATCGGACGGGGTCCGTCGGCCGGTGGTCTGACGTTGGCCGTTGTGGTGGTCTATCGGTGGCTATGATGTTCTGACACTGGTAGTGGTTTAACGGCGACGACTGTGATGGTATGTCCGAAGTGTGGTGGTGGAATGAGGCTGGGTGTTGCGAAAAAATGGATGAGGGATAAAAACGACATTTCACTAAAAATCATGGGCGGCAAATAGTAAATGGTCGGGCGGCAAATAACAACCCTCAGTACTGTTTTGGATATGGCTGAATCGCCAACAAAGTATCAAATAATAGTCTCTCTCCCCAAGAATACACTCGATTTTGTTCCTTGTTATAAGAATGAAAATTTTGAGCTCTCAATTAATCTAGTTTAATTTTTCTTTTTTTGCCTGATGCGTCAAATTCCAGTGAGGGAGGCAGATCAATGGAAGTTGCGGTGAAGTCAGTGGAGAATGTGAAACCATCATGTCCATCACAGCTGAAGCCATTCAAGCTCTGCCTTCTCGACCAGATGATGGGCAGAGGTTACATTGGGCTCGTCCTCTTCTACCCGCCGACGCCGGCCGACGGCGAAAAGGAGACGGTGGAAGCTGGCGGCGGTGATCAGAAAGTGGAGAAGCTCAAAGCCTCGCTGTCCAAAACCCTAAACTCCTTCTACCCGCTGGCCGGGAGGGTGAAGGACAACGCGCGGGTCGAGGATTTCGAAGCTGGCGTCCCATTCGTGGTGTCTCGAGTGAAGGGATACGACACCGTTTCAGAGTTTCTCAAATCTCCAAACTTAGAAGTCCTCAACAAGTTCCTCCCCGTGGAGCCTTTCTGCCTTCCCAACGCACACCACGTGCCACTACTTCCCCCGCCGTTGCTCGTCCAAGTCAACACGTTTGACTGCGGCGGGGTTGCCGTCGGCCTGTGCTTGAACCACAAGCTCGCTGACGGTGTCGCTACCAGCTCCTTTCTCAGGAGCTGGTCAGCACACTGCAACCACAACAACAACACGAATCATGATCATGATTCGATAATAACATCTCAAGGTTCTTCTGTTTTCCCTCCTCGAGAATCGATGCCTCCTCACGTGGAGCGACTGCACGACAAGATGTTTCTCGAGGAGGGGAAAAATACTGCCACGAGGAGATTCGTGTTCGATGCGAACGCGGTAGCCTCAATCAAAGCAGATGCCAGAACCAGTTGCCAGGTTCTCGAGAATCCATCTCGAACCGAAGCGATGCTAGCCTTCATATGGAAATCCATCATGACAGCAGCGATTTCGACCAGCCCTAGCCCTCCTCCCCCGTCGCAGTTTCTTATGCAACCGGTCAATGTGAGGCCTCGAATGAATCTTTCGGAGGAATGCTTCGGGAACCTCTTCTGCATGGCGATGGCATACTCGAGCGATCCTCCAAATCAGCAGGTGGGTGAGCTAGCTCAACTCATAAGGGCAGGAGTGAGCATGGTGGACCACAAGTTTCTTAAAGCACTATCCAGCGACGATGGGTTCGAAGCCATGGTCGAGATGCTAAATCAGTTGAGTGAGGTCAGCCAGCCTCAGATGCTGTGCGGGTCTAGTTGGCTAAGGTTTTGCTTTGACGAAGTCGATTTTGGGTGGGGGAAGCCGGCATGGACCGGTGTCCTTGGGGAGGCTAGCGCCGACTACCCTTCATACAGCAACTTAATCATTCTGAAGGAGCACTTGGCGCACCGCCAAGATGCCGCCGGCGTAGAGGCTTGGATCAGGTTGGATGTGGATGTGATGGCTACTCTTGAACATGATCCTCACTTCTTGCAATTTGCTTCCCCCAATCCTCCTATCTTTTGCTCCTCATCATGAGCTACAGTTATTCGATCAATCGAGCTTTGTTTTTCTTGTTTTTGTCTATTGACGGTTTCTAATTTCATTTCATAATTCTCTGATGTGATATCATATGATAATTTCTTGAAATTTTACTGAGATCCTCATATTTAATCTCGTCTGAAATAAATGGCGTTTGAATCTCAACCTCTAGAAGCGGACAAATTTGTTTTACCGGTGTATTGTAATAGCTAAATCAAGAAATTGAATCTTTGTGAAGGCATTTTTTTTAATATTTAGATTGAAGGGTGCTCATGCATGATGCATCATATAGTGAGATGCTAATATGTATTGAAGAGTGTTCGTATAACTTACTTCATGTTTTCGGTTTTGTCGTCGTCAATTCCATCGTCTGTTGGAGAAAGTTATTATGCATTGTCATTAATTACCCAATTAAAGAAACTTTGACATATGTATTATTGAACTCCATTGTGATACTAGCTAGATGGAGCCAACGTCGGTTTCAATTTTGATTGATGATGAGAGATGGAGAAGAAGCGGAAAGAAAGATAGAAAAATGTTGGAATTAATGTGAGGTCATGTAATTAACCATTCATTTACCCCTCTTAATTTTTTTCTTTTTTCTTAATGAATATTTTCCTTTCTTTTATGTGTCTTTTTTTACATGGGTTTATCATAAAACTTGCTAAGACTTACCTTAAAAACATTATTTTTCTCCTTAACTCATGTTTTCCTAATTGTCAATTATGAAAGATCCATTTCTTGCCGAATGATGCTCTTCCATACAAATTAAGAATAGTTGATTAAACAAAGATTATGGGTTTCTAATTAACAAAAACCATAATATTATTATGAAAATGATATAAACACTAACTCTATGATTAGGGAAGATATGTACATGACGATGATGATAATTACACAAAATCCTCAAAAGAAAAATTAGTGCAAAAAATCAACGAACCTAGCTTCAATTTTTCCTCGTAGTCAACAAGGAATGAAGTCAATGAACATCTCCATAATCATGAACGGGAGTTTGACGAGGCTGACGGCAAAATTTGCAATTCCAGTGCAACACATGCAACAGCAGGGGCAGATGCAATTCAATATGCTCCTGCAATAAGGATTCGTATATAAACAAGTGCAAATGATCAATAGGTTGACGATGAATACGATCGATCTCGCATTAAATAATCGACATATTTGCGCAAATACACAAGATATGAAGAAGAAAACGGGAAAGGAGAACGGCTGCGTACCCGACAATCCAAAGAAGAGCTCCAAGAAGGGATAGTATCAAAGAGACGAACGCAAAAGGCAAGCTCAAGAGGAATGCAAAGGGTCTGCAATGCCCCATAACAACAACAATAACAACAATATCTTGGCATATGCATGCATGTTACCATTAATTACAAAGTTTTTCTTTCTTTTTAGGGTTTCTCTATCTATTTCTCTTATGCATCGTATCATGTTTTGTTATGGCCTGACGACCTAGCTAGAGCTATGAACAGCCCCTAGAGCTTTTCGCCACGAGAGAATTATTTTGCCATAATTGGATTGGAGATCAATTCAATCTCATTCTTTAGTTAATTTAAATGACATATTAGATAATTTGTTCGACTAAAACATCTATCGATTTCATTTAGATTAGAAGACTTTAGATGTTTTAAATTCGAACCTATACACCGGAACTTAGACCGTATGACCAAGAAATGCTAGAAAACAAAAGCTAGAAAACCTAATTGGACTTCCATTAGTGATGAGAAGATATAGATTTTTAAGCGAGCTGTCAGGAGAACTTTAAATTCAGCAACGCCCTATCAGGGCTAAGAGGAGTCCCACCCATGCATGGAAACAATGTGGGCTGTCTATACATGGGCCAAAAGAGTGAAAAGGGCTCAGTCTATGTACATGGGCCATACAGATGGACTATATCGACCAACAATATCAACCGATGAAGGCTGGTACCATATTCAGGCCCACCACAAAAAGAAGGCCTCCCTCATCCAGTCATCCTCTTCTCGCCGGGTCAGCACCAGCTTTAAAGTTTAAACCGTCAACCTCAAGTCAAAGCTTCTTCGTCGGCTTGGGCTTCTCGTTGCCGCCTCCAAAGGTCCAAATCCCTTGCAGCGGTGGTCGTTTTCTCCGCCAAACGTGAACTTCCAATACGTACAAGAACCGCCTAAAAAGTAAAAGAGCGGAGCCAGCATTTCAAACCACCCACGTACTCTTTTCACAATATAAACATTTAATTAAAAATTATTTAATAAAAAATAATTAAAATTAATTATGTCTGCATAATTCATTCCCAGTTTAAAATAACCGACTATGCAATCATTGTTTTTATAAACAACCACGAAGAGATTTCATATTGTGAAAGAAACGCAAAAACATTCGTCGTCTACACTATTAAATAAGTCTTTTTCAATGCCCTTTTTACATTTGCAGTTGTAATTCGTAAAATCAAAACTAGTGGAACTGCCGCTGTCGTTGGACAATTTCAGGGTTGTTGAGAAAAAATCGAATAGGCATAAGGAGAAAAGAGATCTGATTAGGTCTTTATTGCAATTAGAATTCGTCTGTAGTATAATAAATTAATTTTATGTCATTTATGAATAAGCAATGAGTTGTGCTCTATTGACAAAAATACTCTAATACTACCTATAGGCGTTGTTTTCCATCACCAATATACATATACATGACATATTTTTGTTTCTCCGAAATTTACCCCTGTATCGGAACAAGGCCCAATGGGCCTCCCTCCGCCTATGTAAATGAGTGCAAAAAACAAAGGCCTAATTCTTACAAAAAAAAAAAAAAAACAAAGGCCTAAGAGTACAAGACTTCACACAAAGAGTATATAAACTTATCCCATACAGTATAAGAACCAACACGAAAGATTACAAACTTAGAAGTCTCACGGGGAAACCCACCCAAACTAAAGAGAGTACAATAGGTTGTTTGCCATTTTTTTTTATAAATCAGTGTTTGTATGCGTTTTATTTACTCATGGGTCAAAGCATTACAGTCACTAATAAGAAGTGGTACAATGAAATTGGGTGGTCGGTCGAACCAGATTTCGATTTTTTCCCAATGACAAAGCACTCAAGCCAACTGATGGGCCACTGTATTCCCTGCTCTCCCCCAAAATCTCCATTTCACCTCTTTTCCTTCCACACCAGCCCTTATCTCTTCGCAAACAGTGTCAATTTCAAGATTGATCTTCTCCTTCCCCTGCAACTTAAACATGAGAGTCTGACAATTTGTCTCCATCATCACTGGGAGCAGATTGTGTTGTTTCACCGGCTTCAAACCGCAAAGGAAGGCCTGTGCTTCCGCCATTTCCGGGCTCCACTTTGTTCTTGTGCGGCTTACCGCCACCATTACGAACACCACCGGACCAAAACCCGTCCCCCCTTCCTTCAGTATACATGCATCAACATTCGCCTTCAAGCCCCCATATGGTCGTTCCCATTTGTAGCTTTGACTAGGGCGTATCGACGGCGAAGCTGGTCCCTGCGCTCTACGAAACTCCTCCAGGTAATTCTGAGCTCTTTCAACTACTTCCCACTCTTCCAATTTCTGGTTGTTGAAATGGTGATTGTTCATTTCTTTCCAAAGGAACCATATTGTAATTAGGAATTCGCATATCTCTTCATCTTTTCCATTTTCCAGAACTTCACACAACCAATCTGCATAGCTTCGATCTTCGCCCATTTCGAACATCCTTCTTAGGAAGCTAGGTCTCCAAGTCCTCCCTGCCCAATCGCATTCTCTGGTTATGTGCTTTTGAGTTTCAACCATTCCACAAAATTGTAAGAGATTTGTTAAATGTAGATATCTGATAATGTATATATTTTCGAATGTATTGTTTGTTAAAAAAAATTAGATGAATCATTTATATAATCATTTTGTTAAAAATTGCTATTTGAAAATGTAAGATATTTGTTAAATGTAGATATTTGATAATGTAGATATTTTTAAATGTATTGTTTGTTAAAAAAATTAGATGATTCATTTATATTCATTTTGTTTCTACCTGTAATATGTTCTGATTTCTTGTATGTTATCCTAATAGCGTCAACCACGAATAATAAAATTCATTTTGCAACCAACATATAACATATTATTTGAGTGTTTGTCATATATAATGATACTATTTTTTATTTTTGAAAGATAATTTTATGTCAAATTTCTCTACAAAGTACAAACTGTAGCGGTTACAAAAAATATCATTTTATAACAAAACATAACTTATTTGAAATCAGCATTCAAACTAGTAACAATTATTTTACTAAAAAAGTTTGAAAATTATTAATGAAAAATAATTGAAAAGAATAGTTTGAAATTTTTTGGGATTATGAAGTCAAATAAAGAAGAGTTAGTACTGGATTCACAGAAAAAGAGGTGGATTAAGTTCTTTGTTGAAAAATGACTCATTTAATATCAAATGGCACATGCAAATAATTACCTAAAAATAAATATCCAAAGAGTACAACAACTTGTCACAAGAGTCCAAGAAACAACTAAAGGAAGTAAAGGAACAACCCAAAAGAGTTTAAAAAGAAAAAACATCCAAATAGTAAAAGAACCACCCAAAATGGTATAACAAACAACCGCAAGATTATAAGAAAACCAACCCAAAAATTACAAGAACCAAAATCAAAGGCTGACTGCCCTTTGTTGGCTATTGGATTAGCCAGGCTCTGCGATTCATTGCTGCCATCTTTGGTTTTACCTGGAATGTGACCAACAAAATGTCAATACTTACTTGATAATTACACCAATATAATTTTCAAATAAAGAGCTTTACTGAACGAGGTGCACACCATCTTCTCATGGTTTCATCTTGGTGTCGGAACAACAAACAAGGATTTGGCTTTCTGTAAAGAAATTCCAAACGCCTCCTCCATATCCAACATCTCTGGTACGATCTCGTCCGGTAATTTCCAATCAAACCAATGTACGAATGAACCCAACATAATATGCAACATCCTTGTTGCTAAAGGTAATCCAGGGCATATCCTTCTTCCGGCGCCAAATGGGATCAACTCAAAGTAGTTTCCTTTTGCATCTACCTCTGACCCCAAAAACCTTTCTGGCACGAAGGAATCAGGATCATCCCATATTGATGGATCTCGGCCTATAGCCCATGCATTGACAAGAATTTGTGCACCTTTGGGAACTGTGAAGCCACATATTTCCACGTCTGCTCCTGCCTTGCGAGGGATTAGAAGTGGAACTGCCGGGTGTAACCTCAGAGTTTCTTTGACAATTGATTGTAGATAGGGAAGTCGATGGATGTCTGATTCTCGAATATGATTTCCTTTTCCAACCACTTGGTCAAGTTCTTCTTTGACTTTAGCAAGCGCGTAAGGATTACGAAGTAGTTCTGCCATTGCCCACTCTAGTGTGCTTGAAGTTGTATCAGTTCCACCAGCAAATAGATTCTGATGTGTCAAACACATGAATGTAAGTGAGCTAGAAAGATATGAAAATCATTTCCAGGCCATAACCATTAGTTTTAATGTTGTTAAAATAAAAAAAAATAAAAATTCAAGATTCCTAATGTAGCCAGAGTTTCCTTTTGCATATCTATTTTTGTCTTTTTCCCTCTATCTCGTTTGTTTCGATTTCAATGTGAGGTTTTTCTATGTGGATTTGATGTTAATTATGTGTTCTTCGATATTTTATTTGAATACAAAGTTTTTAAGTAATGTAATACATTATTGATCGAAACGCTAATGATTTTTGCAAAACAATAATTTATTATACACATTAATATTTGCAATATTTACTAAAAGGAATTTTTAAAAATATTTGAAAAGATCATGGATCAACTTTAACAATTATATCAATGAAGAATGGATAAAGACATTTTGTAAGAGGTAGCATATGATACAAACAAATGTATGGACGACGATGAAGAAAAATATAAAGATAGATCAATATAAATAGGTATATGGTATGGAAGTGTGACTGTGAGTTTGTTCTTTGGTATATTATTAAACTAAGGGGTCGTTTGCTTCATGGATTTGAAAATGAGGGTTTTGTAATTTAAAAACCCAAGGATTTATCAAGGATTTGAGGCATCATGGATTTGTAACAATCCTTTGTTTGTTGGAATGTTTTTATCATGGATTTAAAGGTGTGGGATTTACTACTTGAAGTCAAAAATTACATTAATGCCCTTTTCTATATGTTTGACATGTTTATGATATGTACACAAAACAAGGACAAAACTTCAAAATTACCTTACTAATAAGCATAATGTTGCCACATGGACAATAATAATAAACGAGAAACTTTCGTTTTAACTTTTAACGTAACATAATCAATTACCAATTCTTTGTCCTCCTTTTCAAAAGTAACGTATAACAACATATATTAGAATCGGGAGAACAAAGAATTACACGTTTCATGAAAAGGTCAAAGAAAACTAGAACACAAGAAATTATATAAAAAATCTAACTCATGTTTGCACATTAATTGAACGTTTATATTATTCATTTATTGTTAATTATAATGTATAATAGTTAAATTTGAGGGCAAGCTTGGAATATTAAAAGTGCATGAGGGTATATGAGTAAAATCTCATCAAGGATTTATGCCATATTCCAAATCCCACATCAACATGTGGGATTTATAAGTCCGTGGGGTCCACGGATTTGGACCCTTAAAATCCGTGGGCCCCACGGATTTGGTCTCTAAAAAAGGTGCAAGCAAACAACGGATTGTACCTAAATCCTTGATAGTTGGTTTTTTGGTACCAAATCCATGTACCAAATCCTTGAAGCAAACGACCCCTAAACCGCCAACGGCCGTAGACAAAGCTAATTGACAAAAATGGACACGTGGCCATGGATATTAACAAATTGCCGGCCAGAATACCCACCTAATGTTTCTTTTAATCTCTATTCCTATGGTTATTAAAAAAAGTACAGTTTTAAAATTTTAATTAGATTCCTATGGGAGTAGTAGGCTTGTTTATGAGCACATAATCAACCCACTAGGCCAGTCGCCAGTAGGACAAACAGATTAACAAAATCGTTCAATATTTTCCCTCTGTTAATTAAGTTGACGTAATTAATTACTCACCAAGAACAAATGCTTGATGCGAAGTGGATCCATGGTCGTCTCCTCCCGACTGCGGTTGTCGTCGTCGTCCCCAATGTCCAGAAGCGTATCAAGCATGTCGTTGGCCGATACATAGCTCTCCGACTTCCGCTTCCGCAGCCGCTCGTCGATCAGCATTCCAAACATATCGAAAACCCTGACCTTATAAGCAGCCGACCGCCTCTGTATCCCCTGCAAATCCAACCTGCCCAGAAATGGAAAATAATCTCCCAAATTGGGCTTCCCGGCTTCCTCGAGGATCCCCCTCGAAGCCTCCTTAAACTCCCTGGCGGCCTCCGACCTCTCGTCGTCCGCCAGATCCAACGAAAACATCGTCCTCGACACGGCGTTCAAGCTAGCCCTGAACGCCGCCCTCCCAACATCCACCGCCTCCCCTGGCCTCTCAGAGGCATTTCGTCGAACACCTTCCACGAGCTCCCGAACCATCTCCCTCCGCAGCTCCTCGTTGGAATCCAGCTTCTGGGTATTGAACAGATGCGAGTTGCAGATCTTCCGGAGGTTCCTCCACTTGGGTCCGACGGGGAGCCACGCCATGCCCAGCAGGTGGTGGTCCAGGGCTTGCGCCGCGAGGACGACCTTGCGGTTGGAGAGCACCTGGTCGTGCTTCTGCAGGATTTCTTTGGCCATGGCTGGGGAAGAAGCCACGATAGTGGTGATTTGCCCGAGCTTTAAGGTCATCAGCGGACCGTGGATCTTGGCTAGATCGGCTAGTGATCGGTGGGGTTGGTTGCCCAGATTGTGGAGGTTGCCTATGATCGGAAGCCTGGCAGGGCCCGGCGGGAGTTTGGCCGTAGTAGCCTTTCTTCTTGCCAGGACATATTGGAGGATAATGGTGAGGAGAAGGCAGAGCAAGCAAACCAGGAGGACTTCCATTTCGCCGGCCGCTTTGCTTTGTTCGATCGGCTCCAGCCTGCAGCTTCATAAGCATAATATATGCATTTTACATATAGAGACAGAGATCCAGGGATGGATTTGTTAATTGGAGTCTCCCTTGAGGCAAACAAAGAGCCACATTCGTACTTTCCAATTTCATTAACCAGCATGAGATCAGCTACAGATGCTTTTAATTAATTGTTGAGAGATGACAGCTCACCTTGCATGAACGTTGACCAACTCAAATGTCACAAACATGTACATATTATCCACTAAACGTAATTATAATAACTTCATTAGCATCAGAGTAACAAGAGCAACAAAGTATGATAATGGGTTTTCGGAGTATGATCTATAGAGTTGAACCGGCCTTAATATAGCTCGAATATGATATTGATGTTATCGTAAATGTGGAGATGCTCTCATCTATTCAATTCGGGTAAATGTCACATTTTGTCACTGGTGTTACTAAATCGTGTTATGTTTAGTCACTAGAAAAAATCAATATCAATTTTGGTCACTCGAATTAATGTGACATGTTTTAGTAATTCGAATGACCACAATTTATATTATTTTTTTCTAGTGACTAAATATGATATAATATGATTTAGTAACCTCAGTAACCAAATGTGGCATTTACCCATTCAATTCATGATACTTTTACAATAGAACACAAGTCTCCCTATTCATACTATCTCATCAAACTCGAGTTCTGGAATGTGTGGTACAAGGGTCTGCTTATTTTATTGCTTGCACCTCAATGATGTGTTTAGCTCTCTAGTGTGATTGTTGCTTTCTATGACATGTTTTTAGGGGTGTCCATTTGGTTTTGGTTTTTTGGTTTTAACCAAAACCAAACCAATTGGAAAGCTAATGGTTTCAGTTTTTTGGTTTTAAACCAATAAGCAACTTAATGGTTTTGGTTTGGTTAAAACCAAAAAACCAATAGAAACCATTAAGAAACCAATAAGAATAAAATTATTTATCAACAATTTTTTTTAATTTTTTTGTTTCTTTTGACACCCATGCCAACCAATAATTTGTAATGGTCATTTACCATTATTATGACGTTTATTCAATAAAAAGGAGGGAAATATGAATAAATATGAGTGTATGAGTACATGTTGGTTTTTTGGTTAACCAAAACCATTAAGGCCCTTATTGGTTTTTGGCAACCAAAATCCAATAAGGGCCTTAATGGTTTTGGTTTTGGTTTTTGGGATTTGGTTTTTGGTTTTTGGATTTTTCATACTTAATGGTTTGGTTAACCAAACCAAACCAAATTGACAGCCCTACATGTTTTGCATAATTTCATCACATCTTTCGCTGTTTTAACTTGGATTTGATTGGTATTTACTCAATGATCCATTTAGTAGCTTATAAGTGTATTTTCATACATTTGAAGTCTTTTTAGCAGCAACCGCCTCTGAGAACATGTTCACAAACATGCACAACTATTGGTCGCGTGCTAGACATTATTCGACTGTTGGATGAATGCGGTAACAATTTTGGACTGTAAGCACCATAGTAGACAAATTAAAAGTTACAAATTAATTCAATCTAAAATCAATCCCACAAAAAATGTTTTACTTTACAACTTAACATTATAATAATTTAATTAATAAATTTATACATTTTATAGTCATTTTTCCTTCCAATTTACTATATATTAAAATCACTATCCACCATCTCATTAACAACCTTTCTATTAAAATACACACTTTCCATCAACTTCAATTTTTCTAAACACTTACCAATCATACTTTTTCATCAATGTATTCTCAGGCATGAAAAATACACCCTATCATAGCTCAATTTTTATTTGTGAGAAAGAAAAGCACAGCCCATTTCCAACCACATAACGAGAGAATCATAGAACGCCTGCAACGAGGCTCTTTTATGTACCAATTTATTAATAAAAAACAATTATAAATACATACCTCACAGAGCGGTGAGGTGGTCGCTCAATTTCATCGACACTATCACTCACCCCAAGGCTCAGGCTGTGAGAGAGTACACGCCGCTCTCGCTCATTTCCCCCCAATTCCCAATCTCCGGCCACCGGTTCCCGTTTCCTCCGAAGATGAATTCGATGCTCAGATCCGCCAGAACCCTGGCCACCACGGCCTCCCGATCTTCCGTCCTCCGCCGCGGCTACTCTTCGGAGTCCGTTCCCGACCGCAAGGTCGCCATCCTCGGCGCAGCTGGAGGTATCGGCCAGCCGCTCTCCCTGCTCATGAAGCTCAACCCTCTCGTCTCCAACCTCGCCCTTTACGATATCGCCAATACCCCCGGTGTCGCCGCAGATGTCAGCCACATCAACACCAGATCTGAGGTACTCGATCGCTGTTTCCACTGTTGAATTCCGTACCGATCTCCTAGTTTCTTTTTGTTCCTCGTCATAATTGGTTTTTTTCTGTTTAGCCGTCGATTAGGGTTGGTTTTTATTTCATTATTCGATTCCTTTTCTGGAACTCTGCTGTGAAATTTCCATCTAAAGTCCCGACCTTTGGCAGTGCAATTTACATTTGTGACTGGTGGCTTTAGCTTACGAGCTCCTGATGAACTTTGTACTCTTATCTCGTAATTTTTTTTGGAGATGGAAGTTCAGCAACAGTCTGTTTGATGTTGCTGCCTTACGTGTTGAGAGAAATGCTCCCATGCCATGTTTGAGATTCTTTTTCCCCCCGCTGTAGTGAATTGTGATTAATGGTGTTTGTCTACCTCTTACGTGTTCAGGTTACAGGATACTTCGGTGATGACCAACTAGGGAAGGCCTTGGAGGGAGCAGATGTTGTGATCATTCCAGCTGGGGTGCCAAGGAAGCCTGGAATGACACGTGACGATCTGTTTAACATTAACGCTGGGATTGTGAAGGGTCTTTGTTTAGCAATTGCTAAGTACTGCCCACATGTGAGTCTTGAATTGCTGATCTGGATTGTTAGCACCCTGGTGATCCTTTGCTCTTTCTTTCTTATGATATGTATGTTGACTTATGTTTGGAATTAGGCCCTCGTAAATATGATCAGCAACCCAGTGAACTCAACAGTTCCAATCGCTGCTGAGGTTTTCAAGAAAGCAGGAACCTATGACGAGAAAAGGTTGTTTGGGGTTACTACTCTTGATGTGGTCAGGGCCAAGACTTTCTATGCTGGGAAGGCCAAAGTCCCTGTTGCAGGTCTGTTTTCACAACCCTTCTTTACTGGGTGCATGTCTTTTGTAAAGTTTGACTGCTGAAATAAATCCCGGGCTTAGAAAGCAAAGAAGGACGCTTTATCACTATTAAAGTTTTGGAGGCTGAGAAGAAGGGAAATAGAACTGCGCTATTTCACTACTTGATTGTTTAGTTTCTCTCTTGATAACAAGTTCACTGGTACCATCTGTTGATCTTTGTTGCTGAAGGGAAATAGAACTGCGCTATTTCACTGATAACTTGTTTTGTGCATCTTTTTGTTCAGGGGTTAACGTTCCAGTTGTTGGTGGACATGCCGGTGTTACCATTCTCCCATTGTTTTCACAGGTAATTATCCCTTGCCGTGCTTCCTTTTTTCTCTCTTTCTTGTTCTTACTTTGATGTTCCCTCTACTCCACCCTCTCTTTTGTTATTGACATACTTTGTATAGTCTGGCTAATAGTATTTACTTCTTTCTGACTACCTAGCTTGCTGAGTTGACAATACTGTCTGTTTTCATCATAGGCTACCCCAAACGCCAACGTGTCAGAAGAGGAAATCGTTGCTCTTACCAAGAGAACACAAGATGGTGGCACGGAAGTTGTGGAAGCTAAGGCTGGAAAAGGTTCCGCTACTTTGTCTATGGCGTAAGTTGCACTGTGGATGAATGTCCATGCCCTGCCTGTTTGAATATTGTTATTCCTGTTTCATGTGTGAAGGGGAAATTTACCCACTTTAGGATTGTCATTGTTCTTGTTGAAGATATGATAGCATCTGTCACTGATTCGATACTGGTTGAGCCAAAAGTTTGACTGAAAACAAGAACCAAGCGTAAATGAGCATGTTTCTGAGAATGATGATCGTCAGTATCCTTTACTAATGTGTGATTTTTCTCTCCAGTAAAATATATTATTGAGACAATATGGTTCTTTAAGTTGGCATGTGCCTTTCTGTCCTTTCCGGAGTTTTCTTTTCTCCAACCATGAATTGAGTTGGCAAAGATGCATGAGGATTGCAGTTTGGATTCTATTCAATCCTTGCATATATGTGTTGCAATTAGCATGTGTCTTTGTGTCCTTTCCTGAGTTATCATTTGAATGCTTCTGGTTATGACCACCGGCAATGTTCCTTTTCAGTTATGCTGGTGCCCTTTTCGCTGATGCATGCTTGAAGGGGCTCAATGGCGTTCCTGATGTGGTTGAATGTACATTTGTTCAATCAAATGTCACGGACCTTCCCTTCTTTGCTTCCAAGGTGACAAAATAACAGTGTTGGCTAGTTAGTCTCTGAATTTATTTCACGGCGATTTTACTGCTAGTTAGTAATTGAACGGATCTTTATGATGTATCTTTGCAGGTAAGACTTGGAAAGAACGGTGTTGATGAAGTCCTTGGATTGGGACCTTTGTCCGACTTCGAGAAAGAAGGGTTGGAAAAGCTGAAGCCGGAGCTGCTTTCCTCCATCGAGAAGGGCGTCAACTTTGCCAACAAGTAAAATGGGATTAGCTCAATGCTCGACAGTTTGCACGCAGGCAAGAGAAGTTTGCAGAATCAAGATTTTGTGTCCGTCTTTCAGCATTCGTTGTAGCAGCCAACAGCATTGGCTCGAGATCTCTTTTTGTTCAGAAGAGTTGATGAAACCTTTAAAAGCGAACAGTCTCTGACAAATAATCCCAGTTGTGTAGGGAAACAAATATTGTTGCTGGCTTTTGTTCTACATGCCAAAATTGGAAGTTGATTCTCCCACATTCTGTTGGTGGTTTAAACTGGGAATGGTTCTGCAAACATGCTCGGACTTGCATTTGGAGCCCTGAAAAGCCTGTTACTTTGGACTTTGGAGTATATTTGGATAGAGCTATCATTTTTTTTTTTGGGTAGGAAGAGCTATCATTTTTAGTATTCAATTATACAATTAAAACTGTTGGTTGGAAACACATATTTGGCTTGGCATAACTCTACTAGTTGGACTCAAGGAAACGAACAAATACACAGTTTTCATTACACCTCTATGACAATGTTACATATGGACTATTATTAAAGTCACATTTCGATGGCAATTGACAAGCATCATCCTAAAACAGGCTGTTGTCAATTGAGTCAGAAACTCTAATACATGTTGATTAGCATCGGATTTCATTTCTTTTGTTTCTGGCAGCTTGGATCTGGTCAGCAAGTGAATCTCTTTTCAGTTCTTCTCGTTCTGTAAGCTCGAAATCTAGCTTCCCCCATATTGGAGTACATGAGATCTGTTGACCTCCATTGTTCACTTTCCTACCTGTTGGTTTCCTTCTTCGAATCTGGAAAACAAGAACGAGTCAACATGCACATGAAAAATCGGAAACCCCAATGAACTAGTTTCTATACCATTCTCATTTCTTGAATTCAGGGTAAGCACAATGCACTTCTTTAAAAGCTGCACTTCTTTAAAAACTCCTTGGCAAAGTATATTCAGACATATTTTTCACAACTGCACATATATAGGAATTAAGTATGCTAGTGAGATTCATTTTCATTTAACGTACCTTCACCAATTTCTGCTTCAGTATGAACTCCTGGGTAACAGGTGACTTCTCTCTATTCTTGGCACTTCTACGCCTCTCTTCGGCCCTGGCCTTTTCCTTCTCTTCCCTCTCCTTTTTCCTTTGAGCAATCTTTTCTGCCTTTTCTTTTGCCACAGTCGCTGATTTTATCATTGTCAGCTCCTTTGCAAACGCCTTCTCTGTGGCGAATTGAAGCTGTTGGCGAGTTATTTCTTGTTCTATTTCATTATAGCTATTCCAACTCAACCTTTGTTCGTCCAGGCCTCCATCCTTGGCTGCTTTTGCTATGCTTACCTCCCATGAAAGGAAAAATTTAATTCCCAACCTTTTCGACGTTAAACGCTTGTTCCAGAGTCTTTTAAGTGAAGAGCTTATCTTAGCCTTGATTTCAACACTGGGAAAACAACAATTGTGTTAGCCAAAATGCATGTGAACCCAATATTAGTAAGTTCAATCATTCATAAAGTAATGAAATTAAGACAAGGAACTAAAATACTAATGAATATATGCTTGATGACGAAATCCATGAAGAACACTACATGCTTCGTGAGAAAAGCACACCACTTGTTTTCACAACAGACAGCTCTGCAAGATCTCCATTCAGTACAGCAATATACAGAAAATTCTAGCACAAAGCTCAGTTTACTTTAAACTAGAAACAATCTGCTAGCAACCATCAATCAATGAAACCCAACATCTGAGCAGATATGCTTGATGGCAAAAAATACTACTTTACTGTATGTCACATATATCATGTCATAATTGGAGTATGTAAAACAGTCACAGGACTATGCAGGAGTGTGAATATAAAGACTGAAAACACAGCATTCTAAGATTACCTATGAGTTCGCGGCTGTTTTCCCTTCTTCTTTCTAAGCTGAAATCACAGGAAAGAAACATCAGAAAAGCAGACGACTGAAAAGAGAAAGGTAAAGCAAATATGATCCTGTGCCACTGTCGATGGACCAACCTTTTGTGATCCAAACACTACAGCATCAATTAATAACAGGGCTTACTGTGCATGATTTTGAAGCCAAATAATTTCTTACATGCCTTCACCTGGGGGTCTCGCAAGGCTTCTATTGTTCTTCGCTTGATCAGTTCCCGAGTCTCTACAGCATATTAAAAATGTCAAACTGTATAATGTAGTTTGTTAGAGACTCAAAATATTAGTTAACGTACAAAGGCAGGTGAGCTATTTCACTTCTAGCCAATAATTAATCAGGTGCACAATCTGGTGGATTCACTAACTTAATGGAAAAAAGACATACCAGCGGAATGTTTTCGCCCTTTGTTCCATGGAACCTTTCCCTTATTCCCATGTTCAATCTTTGTTTCTCCTTCCGTGGCATTGAGGTTGCCATGATCTTCATGAAAGTCGGTATAACCACCACGCTCATAAGGAAGCTGCTCCTCAGCTGTATAGAGGCCAAGTTTTGAGAGGAAATACTGATCGAATTGCAACGTTTGTTGAACATCGAAACCGACATTTGTGGCTCCAGAGTTCTGAAGTCTTCTTGAGGAACTAAGCGAGGAACACATGGCACATAAGCTTGATGTGTAAGGCGTGTGATGATTCAAAGGCATGACAAGGGGAGAATAAGTAGCTTCCATCGCCACGTGAGGAGGACTGCAAGGTAGATTAGGTACTGATGTTTTCCTGCTAGACAACAAGAATACGGATCTCATGGTTATGTTCTTCATCTTATTATATCATGTCCTACAAGCAGAGATTGATGGTAAGGTGGAAGCACAAGGGTCAATGTAGGACTGGATGAATGAAGAGATTGCAAACAGGGCTACTTCCACTTCCTAATCCCCTTTTGGCAACCCCATAAAACACAGCAACCGTTCATCTTGTTCTGGCAAGGCAAATTATCTCCACATTGCCAACTTTTCATCATATAAGTGAAAATGATTCAATCTTCTCGATATCATATACGACTCAAATCATGGTGAAGAAAAATGGCCCGGGGAAGTCATCCAGATTGTGTTTCTGCTTAAGTTTAGGTACCATTTTGGTGGATACCGGTTCTGTCTGTCATCCTGTACATACACACTCCTTAAATTCATAGAAAGTAGGAAATTCGCTGGCCATTTTCGTTCCTACAGTTACAGCTTCAGGAAATTTCCATAAAATGGGAAAAGGTTGAGCCTTTTTTCATCCAAATTGACTAAAAGTTGCTTCCATATGAAGGCATTTAGTCACTAATCAGTATCAGTACTGTAACTAACAAACAGAATCACAACTACATTGTTGCCTTCATTCAAATTCCCCAACTTAAATCAATAACATTGTGTCCAACAACTCCAAAACTGGATGATACAACACTGCCATTTCAGAAATGGCAGACAAAAAGGTATGGTTATGAGCATTGTGTGGAGTAATAGGGCAAGGAGGACTGGAGGAGAACACTAGAAATTCGGTCTAGACGATTCGAAGGCAGGAGAGAAGGAAATAAAACCGTTGCAAAACCTCAGGAATTAGAAATAGTAGGGGATGAAACTGCATTGAGAGAGAAAGCATAATTCACTTACAAATGAAAGAAAGCCATTTCCGGTGGGAGAGCAGTGACGGGTGAGGGCGACGAGCGAAGAAGGTGACTGGGAACTTGGAGAGGGAGGGGAAATGTTTCGGCCAAATGCGGAAAGAGATCATTTTGGGGAATCGATAATTCGATATGGGCCACTCACTCGAAGATTGGCTCGTCCTCTTGCCTTTATTTGCAGTTTGGTACTTCAATTTCTTACAAAGGACGATTCTAGTTACAAAAAAATAAATAAATACCAATTTGATCCCACATCCAACTTCTTATCAAAAACCGACTAACGTCGAAGTGGCATTACAAATATACTGCATGGATTGAGTCTACGATTGGGGATAATTTGTTGTTTGAATCGGTTCATAATTTCACCCATTTTGCGCCCAGGTAACTTTTAGGTTATTTAAATTGCAAAATTTTAATTTCTTATCGAGTGAATCGTGTACGTTGTTAGAGAATGGTATAAGATCCAGCATAACCTTCTCCCAACAACTCGAGTTATTGGGATCAACTTGTTCTTGACATGGTATCAAAGCCTAGAACCGAAATGTCACGTGTTCGAATCTCCACGACCTCAAATATTAATCGTTGTCTTTCAAGCACATGATATGATGGGCCTGTGCAAACTTCAAGTCCGTGGGTTGGCTTTCGTTTGAGGGGGCGTGTTAGAGAATGATATAAGATCCAATATAACCTTCTCCCAACAACTCGAGTTATTGGGATCAATTGATTTTCTATATTATCTCAAGTCTTATTTAATCAAGATAATTATTTTTAATACCATTTTGACCAATTTAGAAATGAAATATTTGAGAAGACTCTTCCTTTCCATTTGTTCCTTCCCATTTATCATCATTCAAAAAAATTTAGCTTAATTATTCCAATTTTGTTTATTTAAATTTCTACTCCGCAACTGGTTTGAATCGATAATGACACGTGAATCGACTTACCATACGGTACGTGGATTATTTATTCGGCCTTTATATTTTCTTTCACTTAATCATTTTTTTGTTGAAATTCCGATACTTCAATTACTGTAATTTCTAATTTTTTTTTTTGTTGTTTCAAAAAATGCTACATCTATCTATGGGCACTACATTTTACCTTTGACATATGAAAAGAGCATATGTTTGAACACAAATTAGAGGTAAAAAAAAAAATATAATATTACTGACAACTTCCTCTCGATCTTGTTCAATTTCTTTATTACCAACATCGATTGGTCCACCAACTGGTGGTTGGGCCGGGATGACTTCCACCTCAAGGTATAATTTCATATCCATGATTTCCCTTTTCCTCTCCAACAAACTCCCACACCTAACACCACCACAGCTGGTCTAGTCATCAACAACAAGCTAGTCTCCCGTCTCCCCATCTCCCAAACCACCACCATGATCCAACCAACACTCCTCCAGCCGGCCGACCGCCGCCTCGCCGCCGCCGCCATCGCCTCCATCCTCCTCTTGGGATCCGCCAGGCTCCTCCTCGACATCTTCAAAACCAACCACCAACCCCACCTCTCAACCATCCACAACAAACCCTCGCCACCACCAATATTCCTGTCCCCGGCCGACCGCCGCTCCTTCTCCCCAGCCAAATGCAACCCCTTTGAAGGCCAATGGGTATGGAACGACGACCACAACGTGACGTCATCATCGTCACCTTCCCCGCTGTACACGGAAGACAGCTGTCCCTACCTGGTGAAGCAGACGACCTGCCAGCGCAACGGGCGGCCGGACGGCGCGTACCAGAGGTGGCGGTGGAAGCCCGCGGGGTGCGAGCTGCCGCCGTTCGAGGCGGCGAAGATGCTGGACGTGGTGAGGGGGAAGAGGGTGATGTTCGTCGGCGACTCGGTGATGCGGAGCCAGTTCGAGTCGATGGTGTGCATGGTCCAGGCGGCGGTTCCACGTGGCGCGAGGTCGTTCGACAGGGTGCCTCCGAGGAAGGTATTTAGAGCCGGCGGGGAGTGGGACGTGACGCTGGAGTACTACTGGGCGCCGTTCATCGTGGAGTCCATCTCCGACCACGCCACCAACCACACGGTCCACAAGCGGCTGGTGAGCCTGGACGCCATTGACAAGCATGGCGCCACGTGGAAGGAAGCGGATGTTTTGGTGTTCGAGAGCTACGTTTGGTGGATGCACAAGCCATTCATCAACGCCACGTACGTAACACCTCTCTCTCTCTCTCTGTCTCCGTCTTTCTCTCTCTTGGTGGCCTCCTAAATTGATCGAGGTCCGGTTTGATACCAATAACTCGATAGGTTAGCAACGGTGAGTAACTAGTTATTAACATAGTATCAAAGAGTCTTTTAATACAGTGAGGTTTTTTGTTCGAGTACCGATGGTCTCATATGTTTTGTTACCATACGTATGCAAACTTTAAGCTCTCATATGAGTCTGCTTTTGTTTGAGTGGGGTGGGTGTGTAAGTAAATGATATATGGTCCATAATTGAAACATCGCCCGACAACTCGAGTTACTGAAATCAACCGTTTGTACGTTAACACATATACTACTTATTAATACACCCTCACCCCCTCAAATGAAAGTCAACTCATAAAGGTTTGAAGTTTGTACAGGTATGAGAATATTATGTGCTAACATATGGGATTCGAACGGATTGAAGACCTCTCGGTATCAAAAAAGTTTATTATACCATGCCAAGAATCAGTTAATATCATAATAACTCGAATTATTAGAAAAGAAGATATACCACTTAATACATATTAACAAAATATTCTCTGAAATTATGACAGGTATGGCTCGCCGGAGAACATCAGGGAATATGATGTGGCGACGGCATACAAGGTGGCGATGGAAACATGGGCAAATTGGTTGGAAGCGAACATCAACCCTCGCCGCCAGTCCGTCTTCTTCATGAGCATGTCTCCCACCCATCTTTGGTACTTACTTATCCATCATTTTTTTTTTACCTCTGCAAAACTCTCGATAAATTTATAAATCAGTAATTCTCCAGTTTTTATTTGGGCCAATGTAAAATATTATAAAAAATCCATTATTGTCTTATTCGGGCTTAATTTAAAAATAAAATATATGTGGATGGTGCATGCAGGAGCTGGGAATGGAGACCAGGAAGCGACGGGAACTGCTTCAACGAGACGTATCCGGTCGAACCGGCGGGACGGCCGTACTGGGGAACCGGCTCGAATCTCCAAATCATGAACATAATCGGAGACGTCATAGGCCGACTCCGGCGAGTAAAGGTCACGTTTATGAACATCACGCAGTTGTCGGAGTACAGGAAAGACGGCCACACCACGGTGTACGGAGAACGGAAAGGCAAGCTCCTCACCGGAGAACAGAGATCCGACCCCAAGAATTTTGCCGACTGCATCCACTGGTGCTTGCCCGGAGTTCCTGATACCTGGAACCACATTTTGTACGCCTATTTGTTGCACAGTTATCGTAGCTAATTACTGGTAAATTTACAGCGCGACAAAGCGAATTATTTGAACAAATTAGTTTTCCAAAATGGTAAAAAGAGTTTTTGAACGAGAAGTTTCGTGTTAGAATATCCTTATGTCTACCATTTTAATTGTTGATTTATGCATATGAGTAAGAGATGCAGACATGTGCAAACTCTGGAGTTTTACTTATACATTGGCATTATCTTACATATATAATGGAATAATGTAAGATTCATTTTTTTTTTATTATCTCTCCGACAATTCGTGAATTCTAATTGAGATAAAAATATTTCTATTTTATAATTTTGGAGTCATTTTAATAGTGTAGCTGAGGTAAATATGTCAAATAGGAACGTTAATGTTAGTGACTTGTTAGGTTCATTATTCTTTTGATCATCCGAAGGTTATCTTTCGAGACACCTTACTGTTGTGGTATTATTCATTCCATTACGAAAAACAAGGCAAATCTCTCTCTTGTATACCAATTTCCAACCAACTCCATCAATTAGTTTGAAGTAATTCAAAAAAAAAAATGTTTAAAAATACTTCAATCCAAAACTCACAAAGAATTTATAATTGGATAGATTCCTCGCAAGAACTCATTTATTATAAGTCGTACATATCCAGTCAGACAATAAAATTATTAACGTGCTCTATTTTAACGTTAATACTAATTGAATGAACACGACACCAATTGTACCATAACAATCATTAATGGAAAGAAGAAGAAGAAAAAAAAAATATTTATTGCCACCATCGGAAACATATGCATACAGCACACATTCTGTGTGTATGTGACTATGTGTTAAACATCACCATTAATTTATGTAATGCCCCATGTAGGTGGACTTAAGGTATACTTGATCAAACATTTTGAAGGACAAAGAGCAGCATGCAGCCTATAAGCTGATAGTAAAAGAAAAACAAACAAACCACAACACATCCAATACAGAGAATCGCGGCGTAGCGAGCATCCAATCCAATCCAATCCAGCCAATCAGATCTTATCGGGGATTTTGGTCTGAGCCTCCTCGAGGGTGATGCCCATCTCCTCCATGAGCTTCTCGCACCGAGGGTCAGTTGTGGACGTCATGTACCCGATCGGGTTGGCGTAGCGAGTCGGCTGCACCACGCCCATGTTGTCCGTCAGCAGCACCCTGGCCCGGTCGATGAAGTGGAACTTCTCCTTGCAGTTGTCCATCGGACTTCTCAACAGCTTCACCTGTTGTAAGTCACATTTAATTAGAAAGATAATTGATTAATTACTCCCCGTAGAATAATTAATTATTTCATTTATTCAAAGCTATTCACACCAACAATTTTACCTGGCAGATGTCCTCCTCGTGGTCGCCGGTCACCGGCAGCCGGTAGGTCCCCGTCTTGTCGGTGTCCCCTTCCACCATGTAGGTCACCGTGTTGTTGTCCCTGCACAGGCACTGCAGGTTCACTCTGGCGCCGGCGATCATGGTGCTGATCTTGGTCGGGAACTCGACGCGGCAAGGGTCGCAGTACACCTTGCCTTCCACGAACATCTTGTCCTCAGCATCGACGACGACGGCGGAGGAGGAGATGAGGAGGAAGAGGGCGGCGGAGAAGAGGGCCACGGCGGCGGCTGCAGCAGTCTTTGCCATTGTTTGTTGTTTGTTGTTGTTGTTGTTGTTGATCTCGGAGGGATATTGCAAAAGAAATATCTCTCTTTGTATACGTGATGGGGGAATTTTGCACAAGGAAATGGGATTGGTTTTATATGCAGAAAAGGGTTATCGATATTTTGGGGAAGAACCGAAGAAGTGGAGTTTTGATCTTTTTTGTGTGGTTCGTGTTTCAGCTTTCTATTTTGAGGCGGGTGATTTGTCTTCAAATTGGAGGGTTTAGAATGTTAATCCACCGGCGACTTGTTCAACTACTCACAAATTTGTAGTAATATTTTTGGCATATTTTTGTTTTGATTTGAGTTGTTTTTTGTATTCTTGATTTTCCTATTCTCTTACAACTAGAGAGCTAAAATTAGTTCTTTTATTTTTTGCCAGGATGATACATCGTATAATATTAGTTGGATTAACTCGTCTCGTTTCTATGTAAGATGAGCATAATTATACGTACATGTGGTGGAAAATAACCGAATAGCTTTAAAAATTCAAAAATCAATGTATACAAGAATATTCCGTATAATGACAAAACCCAGAAAATGTGTCGGAATTTTGTTGTATCGCCTGCCTCTTATTCCACGGTCCCCTACTTTCACCTTTGCTTGCTCATAGTCATAAGGTAACATTGAGTCTTCCACCCCATAATATAGCTCCTCCCGTAATTAATAGTGAAACTCTATCTAACTTAATATGTTATTTCTAGTTCTCATTAAAAGGATACTAATGTCATTCCAATTAATTATTTACTATCCATTGACTAATGTCATGGCAATTAACTAGAATATCTTATCCTACTCGGATGATTTCTTATCTCATTCATTTGAGCACCATCACATTTCATGTGTCATTACTCATTAGCAATAGACAAGTCTCTTCATCTAGCTCCACTCGTAAACCTAACTAACTAAGAGAAGCTACGTGGAGGACACTCCATCTACAAGGGTTTCCAAAGAAATGTAATACAAAGCTAACATCAGCATTCTCTATATGACAGCAGTCTCTCCACTATATTGTGGGAGAGGACCTGAAAACTGAAGGATGTAAGAAAGAATGTTAGACCAAACACATCATTGCCTCTCTTGCAAGCAACTCCTAACTGGAGACACCAGGATGAATACTCTGAGCAGTTAAGCCTGTTGGCGGTAAAGAAACACTAGGGTTAGGGACAAGCTGCATAGGGTTTCCAGCGTTCACCATAATGCTGCTGCTGCTTTCGACAGCTTTTGGTTCCATTGCAATCTTGGTAGCTGCAGTGGTAGTAATAGTATTAGGCTTTGGCACCCCTTCTGTACTATGGGCAGAGATCCTTTGGATACCGATAATACTAGATTGGTCTCCACCGGCTTTCTGCTGCTCGTGATTTACCGACTCTGTTGCTGCATGGAGTAGTTGCAATCGGTAATCAGTTTCCGGTCTGCGGCAAATTTTTCTGAGAGGCACGATTTCCTGAATGAAAAAGAAAGAGAACAATACAAAACAATCACTGATCCTACTGCTCATTACCATTCCAGAGATTACAATCAAATGGTTATGCCAAGTAATAGAAGTTCGAAAGAATCCTTTCTTCAATGGTTAATAGAGCTCCAGAGATTCAAAAGTTAGTGCCAAGTATGAATGGCTAGGTAAAAGCGTTAATTATCTATACCAGCAGCTAACTAAGAAATTTAAAGACATTATAAGCCAGTCAGCTATTTTGTTTTCCTTCCTTGGGAATAATTCAGGACCTATTCAATGCAGAACTTCAAGGATTTGAATTGCCACCTTTAGAAAAAATGAATGTGAAGATGAAGCTAATGATTCACAATCAAGGTCATGATAAGAATGAGCGTGGTTGTTGGTAATCTGGTAGATAAGACTCATCACAGAGCAGTTTGACTACGAAAAAGGTCTAACAGTACCAAAAACCCATTTAGACTGAACTAGCAAGAGTAAAGTGTAGCACACCGAGGTCGTATTGTTTAAGAAGCTAAGCCTAGACAATGACCACAAATGTTTTACGAGACACAAAGACCACAACTACACAATGTAGAAAACTGGAAAGGGAGAGAAGTATACCTCAGATTGATCGTGATCATAACGCACCAAAAACCTACAACGGCAACCTCTTACATCATGTCGCCTTCTTTGGGCATCAAGAACATGTGCATCGTAGTATAGTGCTTGATCTTTGCCTTCCTGAAAAATTGTAAGGCCAGTCAACAAGAAAGTATGGGAGATCAGAACCAAGAAAACTCATCCTTCTGAAGTTGATCTAAACTATAAGCTACACAAACAGTCACTAGCATAGACATTGGGTAACAGGTTACCTGGAAACATAAAATGAGGTCTCCAGGAAGAACCGCAACACATTCGGATGCTTCACATGGAAGGGAACGCTGCCTTACATTCTTGCGAACATTGAGCCACTCATCCTCATCTGGTCCAAAACCAGAAAACCTAACCAGTACCTCCTGAAATCCCCCAAGTTAAATCAGAAAGCAAGTTGTCAACGGATCAAAAGAAGATGCCCTTGACAGATAAAGAGAGCACTTTCAGCACGTTCTTTGTATTTTTCTTTTTCTAGTTATATGAATATAACCGAGATGAATTGGCGCCAAAATATTATGTAAAATTTAAATTATGAAATATCTTAAGCATATTATCAAGTTTAATTTTCCATAACCAGACATGTCAAAGATAACCCAGAGTAAATGAGTTGCATGTTACCGGATCAACGGTGTCCAGGTATCTACGAGACAGGAATGTTGCAACATCATACCTGAAGAGCCAAAAACTCATTAGGGATTGAAGAAACTTAATCCCAACAAAACAATAAGAGACACAGCAAGAAGCCATAATGTGATTTGCTTCACTTCCTAAATGACTCGAGTTACCCACCATGCACCATCTCTAGCAGATTTGGCTTCAAATTCCATGATCGTAGTTTCTGGCATTGCCCTTCCTGTAATTGGAACTGCGCAAAGAAAAGGCAAAATTACAAAGAAAACTTAGAAAATGGCAGCTCAAATCTTCAGTTAACAGCTGACATTCAATGCAATGAAGTTGATGATTAAGCATGATTTTTTTCCCTAGAGCATATTTTTGTTCTTAAGCCATCCTTCTCAGTTCTTATACCACTAAAACATATATCTACAAGCCACATCACAAATGAGCTTAGAATATCGTAACCGTAATTTCAATTATAGAGGGACAGACATTTTATATCTCATAATCAACAGATAACATGAAATGCAGAAGCATTTTCAAAGAAAGTCAGAAGATCAAGTAAGGGAAGGCAATAGAGAAACAGTCTAGGCACATAAGCCTTATTGGAAACATTGACATACATCTTTCATGCCATAATCTCTATGCAAGGAAGGCATACAGAATGACATGATTACAATACTTTACAAAATCAATTTGGCCTATAACTGTATCAGACAATGTACAACTACTTGCAATTAGTAAGTCGTTCATTTACTTTGGCGTAAACTAACATTCAATGCTAGAATTCAAACCCACCACTTGGACTTACTAAATTAAGTTTTCCAGAAAAAGTATCAGCAATTCATTTACCCTTTCCGTTTGTTAATCAGTTGCAGAATATTTAAGCTCCTACAGTTCAGTACATATATATCTGAATAGCATCTCTAATCTGGCTCCCCCATGCAGTATGCATCACTTAAGAGCGAATTATTAAACAACTAAACTAATATTTCCAAAGCTTTAAACATTTAAAATTACCATACCTGAAGGAGCAGCCATGTTAGTAGTTGCATGAATAGATGCAGGAGTAGCTACAGGTTGTGCAGCATTTTTCACTGTATGGAACTCATCCCGATGCACTGGTGTTATATTTAGCTTCGCAGGGGACTTGCCTTGTTTGGCTCTTATAGCATAACGCCTGTTTTGGAACCAGTTCCATACCTGTGATTCAAATCCCACTCAGACAATAAACTGAAACAGTCCGGATTGAAAGAACAGGAACAGGGGCTGAATTATCTTACCTGCTTCATTTGCACCGCAATCTTCCCTTTTCGCTCTGGAGATTCACTGTCATCAGGGGGAAAATGCCAAAAGTTCCATTCTTCAGAGTTTTTCGTTTCAGTATTCATGACTTGTTGTTAGCTTATAGGCACAACCTAGAAGCACTTTCAAATTCTTAAAGAACATACCTGAACCTCTCAGCAATGCCCACAAGAACCTCACGAGCTGGCATTATTTGATTGTGGTGTTGCAGGATTGCTTCCATCTCAGCAACCTAACAAAGAGAGATCCATGCAGCATATTATTCCGAGCTTTTACCAGCAGCTAATTCTCGAGTACCATGGCAAGAACTCAAGAATTTAAACCCTTCAAAAGAATAACACAACAAATAGTCTTCCAATTTGCCATCCCATGTTTCTTTTAATAGAACCCAACAACTCAGAAACGCAGAAAACATCAGAGCTAACATTCTGCTACTCCGACATTCAACAAAGGCGTAGCATGTAAAGAAGATAAAAAAAAACCCAACTTCGGGTATAATTCAATGAACTACCACGCAGTAAAACTTGGCTTAATAAATAATAATGTTCAGTCCAGCCAAAAACGCCATTAAATTGGGTTTCGGAAGCGAGCAATTAAGATGGCCAGAACCATCCAGGGGATGGAATAAGAAAAACTAACGTTCAAATTGAGGAAACAGGAACAAACCTCAGTGTGGGTGAAGCGAAAGGCAGGACCGCCATTGCTGGGAGGTCGACCCATGGCTTCACTGCTTTGCCTCTGCAGCTGTTCGAAAAAATATGCGCCGAATTCAAATACGAACTCTGCAACGGCTGACCGGGATTCGGAAGTCGGCTGCCTAATTGACCTTCTCGCGGAAGGAATTTGGTTTGATGGTGGTTTCAGACTTTCAGTTTCGAACTTCCGACGAAGGATATTAGGAGAATAAGAGAGAAATAAACCTCTTATATTTCCCACAGCAAAAACAAACTTACATATCAATACCCCATATTTTAAGTTATATCATTTCGTCCCCACAACAATAAAAAAGAGAGAATACCTTCGACAATGAACTTACAAATACGTACCCATATTTTAAAATAGTATCATTACATTCCAACAATGAAGAAAGGGAGAATATTAGCGATGACAATGTGGCGGGTATCTGTATCTCAATATTCATATCCGTAATGTACTAAGCGTGTGTTAAAATCAGGTAATAACATTGCGGATATGGGACCAATCGATTTATTTTTATATGTTATATTTGAAAAAATAATATTGATATTTAATTATTTTATAATAAGTTAATAACACACAAAAAAATACTTTATAAATGAATGATAAATATAGTGGGATAAATAATTGGGTCTAAATAATTGAAAGGTAGAGCCATAATTTTTTTGGAATAAAAATATAATTTTAGAAAAGTTAAAAGAGAAAAAATACATGTAAATATTAATATAAATCATCATAAAACGAGTGAGTAACAAAACGAAACAAGACGAGACAGATCGAAAACAATATTCATACTACATCCTATATTACTACGAATCAGATAATACGATCTTCAAACAAATCAGATAGATTGGATCATGCTAATGATGCATCACTACTCACACTCCCATAGGGATGAGATAGCATGTCTACCCCTAAAAGGGTTGGAAAATTACACCCTTATTAATTATAGGTTTTAAGGTAATTAATTTGTGTTGCATTTAATAATCTGTATGAATTAAAAACATATATTAATTACTTTCCCTTTTTTCAGTGCACTGAGGTGAAATTAGGGTGGGTGTAGTTACCTGCCCCACATTTTGCTGGTACCCACACCCACAAATTTACAATTATGCTACCCACAACCCGCATCGCAGCGGTTAGTGGGTAACCACTACCCGCTGTGGGTTTGTGTGGGTTGGGTGTGGTTACCCGCAAAAATCCATCTTTGCAAGCATAGAGTTCTAGTCGTCACTAACGTATTTGTTGTTCGTAACTAGATTATAGTGATATACACTTGTGTTGTTCGTGGAGATACAATTTTGTACATCGATCTTACTCAATGTGGAGATTTTTTCTTTTTGAGTTTGGTATTCAACTTTTGTGTCACAGAGCTGTGATTTCATATTTCCCCGACTAGGGGTGAAATATGACAATTAAATATGATCTTTTATTTTTTTCACACAAAAGCAAAAATATACTGATAAAAGTTACAAAAGGTGTTCACTTTTAATGAATTGATTATTCTCCACTCTATCAATTATAGTGTTTTATAAACTAAAAAAATTCTTACAAAAAACTGATCAGGCGTGTCTTTTTTATTTGGTGGCTACTTTAATTTTATCCTCGCACTTTTCACATACTAATATATTATAAAGTTAATTCACTAAATAAATATAATTAGTGTGGTTATTGTAGATTTTGTGGGTTATCCTCGGTGGGTAGTGGATAACCACTAACCACAAAAATCGTTATTTTACTATCCACATCCAACCCACTACCCACAACTTGTAGATATAGTTACCCACAATAGGTGCGAGTTGATGCTGTTTGCAAATTATCCAGTAACCCAAACTTCCACGCCTAAGCACCACCACCGCGGTTGTTAACAAATAACAACCCACATTTTGTTTTCTTCTCCCGAACTCTGCCAGCTCCTCCCGCTACAGTTCCATCCCGGCACGGCACGCTATTTCCACTCTTTCCCCCTTTCCTTTCTCTCACTCCATCACTTCTCTTCTTTTTCCTTCCATGAAGTCTTCACAATTTTGATTCAATTTGGGGCTTCCACTCTCCCTCTCTCTTGCTACCATGGCAGCGCAAAATGATCAGCTGGACAGCAGCTTCAACGACCTCGATTACCTCTCCGGATTCGGCAACTCCCTGGAGTCCGAGGCGATCGCCGGAGCTCTCCCCCGGGGCCAGAACAGCCCTCTCCTCTGCCCTTACGGCCTCTACGCCGAGCAAATCTCCGGCACCTCCTTCACCGCCCCGCGCAAGCTCAACCACCGGAGCTGGATGTATCGGATTAAGCCGTCGGTCACCCACGAGCCCTTCGCCCCTCGATCCCCTTCTCACGGGAAGCTGGTCAGCGAGTTCAACGATTCCAACAGCGTCACCACCCCGACCCAGCTCCGGTGGAGGCCCGTCGACATCCCTGATCGTCCTACTGACTTTATTGATGGTTTGTTCACTGTCTGCGGCGCTGGCAGCTCCTTCCTTCGCCATGGCTATGCTATTCACATGTAAAGTTCTGGCTCCGTGTTCTTGGCTTGTCTGACAAAATTTGTGCCCTGCTGAAGATTAGGAAGTTAAAGACGTTTTTCGTTGAGCTTTGTAGGTATACTGCGAATAAGTCAATGGAGAATTGTGCCCTCTGCAATGCTGATGGCGACTTCTTGATTGTGCCGCAAAAAGGAAGTGAGTTTAGGTTGACTCATTAGCTGCTTCTGATGCAATTTTGTGGTATAAGACAACACTCGGGCAAGAAAGTGAACATTTTTTCAGGGTTTCCTCAACATGTGTGCTTTGAATTTGAAGCTTCTTTGGATTTGATCTCTAAGTTAAGCATCTTTTGGCCAAAATGAAACCGTTGACCTTCAATCTGTCTGGGGCAAAAGCCTTCTGTCAACAATGGTCAGTTGCATTCGAGATGTGGAAGCGATGTTCAAGTACAGAGATGTTCTTCTTGATTTTATTAGCTGGCTTGATGCTAACTAAGAAAGTAGTGAGCCGTGGAGCTGCAAGTTGAATTGATTTTAGGGCCACTTAGTCTTTCCCTCGCTTAGCATCCCTTGTCAGTGTCATATCTTTGATGGGAGATTAGAAATGAATGAGGAATAATCTCAATCATTTGTTCTTATTAATAGGGTTGTGGATCACCACAGAATGTGGGAAGTTGCATGTCTCACCTGGTGAAATTGCCGTATTACCTCAAGGATTCCGGTTCTCTGTAGAGATGCCTGATGGTCCATCACGTGGTTATGTTGCTGAGATTTTCGGTACCCATTTTCAGCTTCCTGATCTTGGGCCAATAGGTACTTACATACTCTTTATGTTTTATTTGAAGTACCATCAACAGATTCTTGCTTGCGGAGAAAGTATTTCAGGTGTGGCTGTGGTTTTCAGGTGCCAACGGTCTTGCTGCTTCAAGGGATTTTCTTGTCCCCAAGGCCTGGTTTGAAGACGGTATGCGTCCAGGGTACACTATTGTGCAGAAGTATGGTGGAGAACTTTTTACTGCTAAACAAGATTTTTCACCCTTCAATGTAGTTGCTTGGCATGGTAACTATGCACCATACAAGGTAGGCCTAAAACTTCTTAGCAATTGACATTACTGAAAGAAGGTAACTTTGCTGGTATTTTGGCCTGAGATGATTTGACTCCTTCTCTGCAGTATGATCTCAGTAAGTTTTGCCCTTACAACACAGTTTTGGTTGACCATAGTGACCCTTCAATTAATACAGGCATGTATCGATTTGCTTTTCCGTTCTCTTTCAAAGATGCTAGGTCCATATTTTTGTGGAGATTAACTGATGTCTTTTAGTGTTCCAGTTCTGACTGCACCTACTGACAAACCGGGTGTGGCGTTGCTCGATTTTGTCATTTTCCCTCCAAGATGGTTGGTCGCGGAGCATACCTTTCGACCTCCATATTACCATCGCAACTGTATGAGTGAATTTATGGGTCTGATTTATGGAGGATATGAGGTATGTACTTCTACCTTACTACCTTATGCTAGATCATAATCTGCAGTTCTACTGAATTTTGAAAGGCTATTTCCAATTGGTTGACTTCAGTGGTGATGTCGATTTTAGGCAAAAGCAGATGGTTTTCTCCCTGGTGGTGCAAGCCTCCATAGCTGCATGACTCCTCATGGCCCAGACACCAAGACTTACGAGGTATGCCTATTACTGAAAGCATGTACCATGTCTGTGCTTCATTGAGGATCCCCTTTCTTTCAAATATCGACGGAATGAACTTCAGACCTGGATATCAGCTAACGCTGTTTGACAGTCAATTCGACGTCTAAGAGTTCCAATCATGATACAATTGATGAATTTCCTAATAACTTAACGTCCATTAATTTCATTTCTAGGCCACCATTGCCCTTGGGGATGAAGCAAAGCCACATAAAATCACCAATACTATGGCTTTCATGTTCGAGTCTTGCCTCATGCCCAGAATCTGCCTATGGGCTCTCAATTCCCCCTTCAGGGATCATGATTACTACCAATGTTGGATTGGACTAAAATCTCACTTCAAACTCGAGGACGCAGCAGTACAGAATGCACAGATTTGAGCTCGAACGAGACTTACATTGGTGTATCGTTGTAATAAGGCGCTAAGACAGGCAAACAGAAAGTCTCTGTAATTGCTCTTTGTAAAGATATCCATGTTTGCGAGCGTGTATATATTGTTTGGTAAGTAATCCACATGTTGTAAATTAATGCATACTCAGAAGATGATTGATTGTATTTAGAATTAAGGCCCATGGCGATGAAAGTGTCAAGAACCAGTTGATAACAATAACTCGAGTAGGTAACATCGGATTGCATATTATTGCATAATAGCATTTACATTAATTTCAGCCTAAAATATAACCATGGGAGCTTCAAGTGCTCATTTTGTTAAGAAATGAGTAAATTGAATGTCCACATTGTTACAGTTAAAGTTAAGGGATCATTTTGTTATGTTCTACATAATTGAGTGACCATTAGCTGTTTTTTTGGAAGACTATATAACTGTTGATTACTTGATTACTTACTTGATTGTCAAAAAAGGAGAGAACATAAATCGGTATCGGTGTTAGTTACTTACGCCGCTCCGAAGCCACTTCTGGAAGCCGCCGATTTTTTTGCACCGGCAGCAGCGCGCGAAATCTGGAGAGGAAAAGATGGTGTTCGAGGCGACCGAAGAAGCTCTACAAGTGTTGAATTCTTCTCTTTCTCACCTCAAATGGC